GAAAACGCCCCATGCATGCCAGAATATCCAAAATGTTACAAAAGAAGTCGAAAAAGCGCAAATAATCTGATTTTCCTGCATTTTTCTTATTTTTCCAATAAAAAAAATTATTTCCTACATGCAGGACCCTCCAGAATATCGAAAAACAGTTAAAAAAAATAATATAATTTAAAAATAAATAAATAAATAACTAAATAAATAAATTTGAAAATTTATCCGTCCCTGCGATTCGATCCCAGGACTCCTCTCTCCAGCAGCGAACTATTTTGTCTGGTGGCCTACCTTCCAGTCCACGGTGATAAGTGAAGTTAAATAACGCAAGGCGCGATATCAGACCTTAATATTTAATTGGACTGGTATTACAGGGTAATAGTGTACCCTACCACAGGAAAAAATTATAGTCCCCATAGGGGGTACACTATGTATATTTAAAATAGTGCATTAAAACAAAGAAATTCGAAAACACTTTTCAATGTTAACAAACGACACGATATCTGCCCTTAATATTAAGCTATAATATTTTAATTTGGACACGTATTATATTACGTAGGTATAGTGTACCGTATCAAAGGAAATAATTATAGACCCACTAGGGGGTACACAACGTGGCCCTGTATTTTACAATGTATGTATATCTAAAATAAGTGTTCTGAAAAGCTTTAAATGAGGAAATTCGCCTACTAAAGAGCTTTAAAATATTATAGGTCAATATTAAGGTCTAATATCCGGCCTTGCGTTAGTTAACATTGAAAAATGACTCCGAATTTTTAAAGCTCTTTAGAAGACGAATTTCCTCATTTTAAAGCTTTTCAGAAGACTATTTTATATATGCATACATTGTAAAATACAGGGCTACATTGTGTATCCATTTTGAGGTCTATAATTATTTCCTCTGATAGGGTACACTATTACCCGGTAATATAATACGTAGTCCAATTAAAATATTATCGGTCAATATTAGAGGAAGGTATAGGATCATATTTTTATGCAGAATATTGACTTCGAATTTATTTAAACGCTATTCAACACACTATTATATCTATACATACATAGGAAATTAAAGAGCCACATTGTGTACTCCCTGTGAGGTCTATAATTATTTCCTCTGTTAGGGTACACTATTACCCGGTAAAATAATACGTGGTCCAATCAAAATATTATGGGTCAAAATTAAGGTCTGATATCGGGCCTTGCGTTAATACTGAGAAATGACTTCGAATCGCCTGGTTTTAAAGGTTTCTAGAAGACGAATTTCCTTATTTTAAAGCGATTGAATGCTCTATTTTAGATATGCGTACATAGTAAACTACAGGGCCACATTGTGTACCCCCTATGAGGTCTATAATTATTTTCTCTGGTAGGGTACACTATTACCCGGTATTAACTATGTACGCATATCTATTAATTATAGGCTTATTAGTGGGTACACAATATGATAATCAAGTTTAATATGTATGTATATAATAGTGTGTTTATTAGCTTTAAAATGAGGAAATTTGAAGTTAATATTCATTTTCAACACATAGCCCGATATCTTACCTTAATATTGACCCATAATAATTATATTGGACCACGTATTATATTACCGGATACTAGTGTGCACTACCAGAGGAAATAATTATAGGCTTATTAGGGCGTGCACAATGTGGCCCTGTAGTTTACTACGTATGTATAAATATAATAGTGTGTTTATTAGCTTTAAAATGAGGAAATTCGAAGTCAATATTCTGTTTCAACACATGGCCCGATATCGTACCTTAATATTGACCCATAATACTTATATTGAACCATTGTCATTTCAAAAAGTTGAATTATTCTCCTTATCATTTGATTAAAAAACAATTGAATAATTAACGGAATTTTAGGATAAAAAGCTACTTTTGAGAAAAATGCTTCCCTACAACACTTGCTGCATTTTTATTTGAAAATTATTATATTGTATCTTGTCCTTGAATTGGGTGCCATTTTCTGTTTCATAATTTTGTCAAAGCTTTCCGGCTTTGTAATATTGACACTTTCGAGTCTCTTTCTTAATTTAAAAATTTAATAGAGGTCATTCACTTAAAATAACTTCATTAAATCTTAGTTCAAAAAAATATTTTAAACATATCGTTTGTAGAACTCTTAGTGCATAATTTATGATGTATAAATTGATATTGAGTTTTTGAATATAAAATAATCAGAGCTTATCACATTAGTTCCTCAAAAAATTTTATTTCATAGTTGCTTTGACATATAGGGTAAACATTTTCAATTATTTCGAGAAATATTAAGATGCATAGTCCCAACATTGAAGAAATAAAATAACTAACAACATTTTTTAAGCTGCGAGTAAGTTTTGATACATTAGGAATATAATCAAAGTCAAAATAAACAAATTCAAAATTGGAATTATAAGCACTTACATTTAGCGAAACAAAAATATGTATATAAATTATGGACTTTTTTTAATCATTATTTATAATTACTTAAACTATTTTATAACTGTCGTTGAACAGCCGACCCAATTTCGGATTTACGACTACTAATGTTCAACTAAGAATCCTGTAATTTTGAACCCAATCCAGAAGACAAGGGAAGTCCTGGATCGAGTATCGGGAGAAGTTTGTCTTTGTGGAGAACTTTTTGATGGAACTAAGACGCATTTGAGTTACACAGAGAAGAAAACTACGAAAACTAACCACAGTCAGCCTGGCAGCAAGGGGACTATCCCTCGTTATTACGTCTAGAAACAACCAGAATTCGTATCGACCAGTCATCACTGGGATTAAAACCCGGTTCATCTGATTGGAACACTATCCCCCGAGTCATCATGACTAACTATTAACCCTCAACATGCTGCAGCACCATTTGTTGAGGAATAAAAGTATTTTCGCCACCAGTGGATATTTTATCACCAATTTTTTTTTTTTTTACATTTCTTTAAAAAAATACGGAGAAATTTGAGAATACACTTCTGTGATTTAAATAGACTGAATTAAATCATCTTGAAATGACGCATATATGAATTCTACAGTTAGAAAAAATTATTTGTTGGAACTCATATTTTTATATATTCCCTGATAAGTAAACTAATTATATAATTCACAAATTTTTTTTTTCTTTCTTTTAAAATGAGTTGATCTTTTTTTTTAAATCAATCCATTGAAGGGTTAAGTGACAACCCATATTTACTTCAGCTATTAGAATAAATTTCATAATGACCCGTTATTTTATGATGTTACAATAGGTCAACATTCTAGTCTATACAGCGGAGCATCCATCCAAAGAACAGTTTCGTTCTTATTCATAGGAAACTGAAAAATGATCTTCGGAATACCGAGGGCTTCAAAACTATATTCTTGTTACGTTTGCTTAGGGGGGAAAAAAGAATGAAAACTGATTTTACATATATAAAGAATAAGATTATTGTTATGCGTTTAGATCAATTGTTTTTGTATTTTTTCCTTTCAACAATTAAATGATCACACCTTCAAAAATATGTTTATAAAAATATTTTGGATATAATTAAAAAAAAAAAACTTTTTTTTTTTAAAACCAATGATTTTTTTCAAGAAAATCGCAATTAATTTAAATCAGTAATTCTTTTTTTAAAAAAAATAAGCGCTTCAAATTGCTATTTTAATTATGCCAACCCCGATAAACAATGTGATAGAAATAAATAACTGTGTAGCAATTTATCTTTATAAATTACTCCTCTCAAAGACTATTTTTAATATGTTATAAACAATTAATTTTGAATGTTCTCTCATATTCTATCAGTATTCAAATCAAGTGGTTCAGATTAGTAATTCAAATTATGCGATTCACATCAATGATTTAAATCAATATTCAGACAAGTGATTCATATCAGTGATTCGAATGAAGCAATTTTGATCATTAAGGGACTCAAGTGATTCAGATCTCATTTCGAATCTCTGCTAAAAGAGTAGGTGACAGAGGGGACTCATGTTTGGGACAGATGAGGAAATACAGCAGCAGGCTTTCGCCATTTGTATTGCAGCTCTATGGTTAATAGGCTCATTATATTTTTCAAATTATTAAAAATATAAGTGCTTTAATGAGATTAGTAACTAATGGAGAAGAAAAATGCACTGAAATGCAGATCAATAGAGCCCTTTAAACTACGGCATAAATCATCATTGAATATAAATTATGACATAAATCAATAATTAATTGATATGGTATGAATCATATTTAAAATATATTAATTTCAGTGTCATAATTTAAAATAGTAGATTCAAATTAATACTAGTTTATGTGACAGAAATGTAAGGCAGGCAAAAAACACGATTTAAAATAATTAAAAAAAAACCTGGTAATTTTATTTAAATCAGATTTTTTTTTAAAAAAAAAACACCTACTAACCAATACATCTGATAAAATGTGTTATTAATGCTTAATTTTATTTGAAAATATTGCAGTTAAAATAGTTTATATTTCTTACAATAATGGTTAAAAATATTATAAATAAAATAATAGTTATTTTTTCAGTTAATGAATTGAATGTTGTAGACAACTTATCAATTAGATATCTAATGATAGGTAAATTAATTAAAATCAAAAAAAAATTGGTAGTTACTCTAGATAGTTTTTCTTCATATTGATATACATCAACTACATATTTAATAAGTTTTAAAAGCACTTGTTTAGAATAAATAAACTAAATGGGTAGAATGGAAATATATTTAATGCGAGTAAATTATTCCAGCCACTCTTATTCACTTTCAGAGCTTATTTTTCATCCTTTTTGAAATGCAATAATTTACATGCATTTCCCTTTCATTATTTCTTAGTAAAAAACCATCATGATCAAGTGAAAACAGACATTTAAACCTAAATATAAATCATACCAACCCTGCTTTTTACACATTTTAAGATATTTAATGTTTATTAAACTCGACAAATGTGAAAAAGCATCCAGTGGCCAGTTTCCATAATCCTCCTCCTTTAGCAGTCTGGATCATAAAATGTACATACACAAATAATGACACAAGATAAAAAAGAAAAATCTTATGATTTTATTCTCACTATTCAAAGAATCATACATTGAGAGTGTTTGTGCTCATATTTAAGGAAAAAGGCATCAACAAATTAACATTTAATGTAAAACTAAGTGTACAAGGTGACTTCGTAGAGTTGTTTTCAATAGAAAAATACTAACACATATCAAAAATTACTATCCATTCATTACAATCCTTAAATTGAAGCAATCATTTCATAACAATTCATTTATACAGCTTCTCTAAAATGAAAAAATTTCATTGAATTTGTTTCTTGATTTTTTCTACATAGCCTAGTATAAACACCATCATACACATCCCTAACGGAGGGAAATGGTCCCGAACGAAAAATGGAATAGTCTATTTTAAAAAATAAAAAAAAAATTAAAAATTTTTAAGATGGTCAAAAAATGAACACAAAGTTGATTATAATTCTACGCAAGAAAGTAAACACAGAAACAAATGCTTAAAAAAAAAATGAAGAGCATGCTATTGCAAACACTTATTATACTCCTATCTTGGAAGCACCACTTTTAGTGAGTCACTCACTTTAGGCAATAACAATTCCATTCATTGCATAGATTTCCAACAGCCATTAATAGAATAGATTTCCCAGATGGGAAAAGTTAACAAAAAACAGCCAATGAATCACAAAAGTTCATTAGTTTCTGTAACCAACACGACCACCACGTAGATTATTAGCAGCAGCTCTTGGGGCATTGCCAGTACTCCTTGATCCTAAAACACAAGAAAGTTATGAATCAAAACACATTCATCTTTTGAAATTTTTAATATGCATTAACATTCAGCAGAACTTACAGGAATCATGTATTGGCAAATGCTTTTTTTACCAGTAATGCAAACACAAATTAGAGTTCTTATAAGATTAATAAAGTGCCCCGCCTGGCAGAATTTTTTTGAGCTTTCTGCGACAAACTTCCCTAGCATTAATATTTTTCTTTAAAATAACAATTACTTATTTAAAGTAACGCTGTGTTTACAAAAGAAAGTATAGAATTAAAATGTTTAATTGTGAAAGTAATATTTTTAATTTTAATATTACAGGCGCTTTCTCGCATTTTGCAGGCAGAAAAATGCACTCCTTATTTCCTCTTTTGAATTTCGTAAATCGTTACAAAAACTAAAATTCATAAATAAACATCGATAATAAATAAAATTTCGTACATAAATTAAAAATCTTAAAATTCGTGCGCTGACTCCAAAATAAAGTCCGACGACGAAATCACATGAATAGGACTTTTTCAAAAACAGATACTCAATTAAGTGTGTGTAAAATGTGATGTTCTTTAGAGGAAAAAAAATTAAAGAAAGAACATCATTTGTATATCGAACCATCTTTTAAACTTTTGTGATTTCCGAATTTTTTATTTGAATTTCGGCCTGAAGCCATTCAAATCCCAAACGAGAATAGAAAAATCACAATTTTTTATTTCCTCTTTGATGCGCAAAAAAGACTTCTTTTAAAACAAATTCTGCAGAAAAGAAAAAAAATTTGAAAAATTATGAAACAAGGAAAACCTAAATTTTCATGCCCCAAATGAAAAATCTTTCTGCAAAAACTCTAACGTTCTGCGACAATGTCGTCGTAATTCTGCCAAGGGGTAAAGTGGTGTATTGTCAAAAAATGTAGTGTAATTAGATATTTTTTTTAAAAATATAATATTGACGTACGTTCGAGTAGCCGAACGATGAAAGTCATTACCCTGACAAAGTAGAAGTTCTCTTCTCACAGAAGGAAGAAAATGTAAATAGATGTTTAAACTTTTATTTATTATTCAAATATCTTTTAGAGACTGCTGTTAAGTAATTTCTTGTGTTCCTTATTTAGTTGTATATAAGTTCATGCGTAGTTTCAAGTAGAAATGCCTACTGGAACACCTAGTTCCACGTATATCACACGTATACAATAAATCAGTGTCATTAATCATCTTAATTCTGTTCCTTTCCATGCTACACTAGTTATGTTATTTTTACATGGGTCAATATTTTTGTTACCCAATTAAATTCATCAGCATTCGTAATAATACCATATTCAATAATTAGCATTACGCATAATATTCACAATATTATCATCTTTTTCATATAATATGAATAATGATCCAAATATTAATGTATTTAATACATATGTATATTGTTGGTGACCTGTGGAATGAGAAATATATATATACACACACACACAGAGGAACCCGTTTAAAAAGTTTTCCTGCGCAAGAAGTTAATTTTTCAAAAAACAAATGCCATAATATTAAGTTTACCTTTATAAGAGGTTTTTTTTCCTGTTTAATAAGTTTTCAGGAGCTTCCAATTTTTCTTCATTTTTTAAACTTTATATTTAAAATGTCTTATCTAGTTTTATCTTTCTGTGACAAAAACAGATACCTGGACTAAGCAAAATTAACAAAGACCACAGGCCTTCTTTGCTCCCCTATTACACAAAGGAAGGTGGTTCATTGGGAAGAGGTGTGAGCAAAGGAATGCGAACCTTTAGATGAACAATGAAACTGATAAGCATGTTGGGAATCACTTGGACATTGTGTCTACTGTAAATGACAATCGGAAAGCCTAATGGCACATGCACTGCACTGCTGTACCCAACCCTTCAGTGACTGATATGAAAGATAAATCAAAAACATTTAGCAGCATCTGGTTGGAAATTTTCTTAGTGTGAAGGTTCATTTTGATTTTTATCTTAAATATTGCAGAAAAAAATTTGATTTTTGTTGAAAATGTCCTCTAAAGGCCTTAAACGTAAAACATTATCTATTTAGAACAAAGTAAAAATTTTAAAAGCTGTTGACAGCTATTCTCAATTACCAAGGGTTCAAATGGCAAAAAATTTAAATCTCCCTGTTACTACGTTAAATTCCATTATTACTAAGAAAAACATCTTAAACTCTTCTAGTTTCAGTGCATCCCAGAAAATAAAAATAGTGAAAAGAGGAGAACACGAAGATGCTGAANTTCCGGTGCATCCCAGAAAGTAAAAAAAGTGAAGAAAGGAAAATACGAAAATATTGAAGAGAAACTGATGATATGGTTTAAACAAGCAAGATCCGCCAACATACCTGTCAACGGAACTCTTCTTAGAGGAAAAGCATTAGAGATTGCGGAGAAATTGAATGTTGATTTTACGCCTTCCAATGGATGGATTGATCGGATGAAAAAAAGAGCTGGTCTAGTTTATAAAACAATTAAAGGAGATTGTAACAGCGTTGATTTACAAGAAGCTGAAGAATGGAAAGCTAAATTACCAGAACTTATTTCAGGTTATCAACCCAAGGACATTTTTAACATGGAGAAATCTGGACCGTTTTTCAAACCCGATAAAACTGATGCATTTAAATGTAAACGTTGCCATGGAGGAAAAAACAGTAAAAATCATTTGACACTTGAGGCTAGTATGAATGACAAAGCCTGTTGACGCTAGTATGAACGGTACAGAAAAATTAGCAATTTTTGTAATTGGTAAAGGGAGAAATTTGATTTACTTTTTTAACCTTCAAATGTTTAAGAAGTTTTCCCGTTTAATAAGTAATTTTTTCCACTCCTTTGAAAAACTTCTTAAGCAGGTTCCACTGTGTATATATATAAATATTTTTTTTTAAAGAAAAAGGCAAATTCATGCATTAAATTTTAAAACAAAGTGGTCTTTATGAAATAATCTAAATTTCCATTTCAACTATTATACTTGTTTGCAATTCTTATTCAAAATGAAGAAAGAGTCAGATGGGCACTTCTCAAAAAGTAGGAATTTTAACAGAAGATCATTCAGAATAATGTTGATATTTATGTTATATGCACCAAAAAATTACTACCTTTGCTACTATATGCTTTCATAATTAAAAAAAAAAGAACTTTTTTAATTGAATGTCAGGACATTATCTTAAACTAGGGGTGCACAACCCTTTTGAGTGAAGGGCTACTTACACAACAGGTAGATTAACGAAGCTTCGCACACATATTTAGTCATGTCAGTGGCAAATACGATAATTTCTATATAAACATAAGTGTTCTAAGCACTAAATTTTTTTACCAGTAAAGTCAAAAACCTATTTACAGAAAATCAAATATTTTTAATTATCTGAATTTATTTTAAAATAACAAAACTGATCCCTTTAAAAAATAAAAACTAATTTTTCGCAACAATTTATTTATTTAATATATATTATTGGGTGNGGGGGGGGGACGTAAACTTTAAGCAGCAGCAAAAAAAGAAAAAAAAGACCAGTGCTTATAGAATGAAAAAGCAATATATATATATATATATATATATACATATTTTATATAGCAATATGAATTTGAATTAAATATTTTTATTAAAGAAAATTTCTAATGTTTAAACAAAAACCAAAAATTAAAACAAATCTATTACAGCACAAAATAAGATTTAATATTTATTAAATATTATTTTTCCGATATTTCTATTTCTTGATTTAATAATTCAAAAAATAGGTCAAGAGGTTTTAAGAATTTTAAACAGAAAACGTTTTCTACAGATTTTTCCTTAAAAAAAAGCAAAAAACACTTGTACTTCAAAAAGATTAAAGCAAAATAAATTACATACAGTAAGCAGTTTAAAAACTCTTATTTTCCCATTTGTCATGGTGCAAATAACATTGTATTAAAATGCTGGGATTCTAAATACCATGTACAAGTGCATGGGGGCCAAATGCCGAAAAAATAACTCATACTTACGATGAATTATGCACAAATAAATTGTATCAAATAGTGGTTACTTAAATTTGCGCTTAGAAATTCATGTGTAGTACTAAAATCGTAATTAAAGTAACGGGATTGTCAAAATCACAAAGAAAAGCATCGCAATAATTGTAGAAAAAAAAATCATTAAATTAACACAAGTAAAGTGTGCTGATAAGTAATCATCTAAGTGCATGACTTAAAAATAGCATTCGCTAATAAAAATCCGTATTTTTAAAACTGCGTGAGAATGCATCGCAGAAAGTGCAGGGAAAAAAACAACTGGATTAATACAACAGGAAACTTGGAATATAAATAGCACAAATTAAGTACTGCAAAAAGTGACCAATTAAATGCGTGATTTATAACTGAAGAGTAATAATAAATATATCGGAAATCGATAAACCTTGAGGAAATTAGTACTTGGATTTATGATGAAACTGGGAAAAATAGAGCACGCAAAAAAGTGATTACTCAAATGGGCAATTTAAAAAGTGTAGAAGAATAACAGAATAACATTTAGAAGAATAACATTTAAAAGGATAAATCATTTGCAAGTTCAGCCAAGAAAACAAGTTTAAAAAATACAAAATTGGCATATTTCTTTTTTGATAATTAAAATCCCCAAATTAACTAATATAAAACAAAACCAATAATTAAAAAAAAACGCAATATATTTCATACCTAACTATACGAGGGGATGATGAAAGGAAAACTTATTAATCTAAATAAAAACAACATTTGAAAATTATCGAACAGAAATGATATTTAAAAAAGGCACTAACATAAATGTTAAAACCTGGAACAAGGCAAGATATTATAAGATCAAAGGAATTAAAAAAAAAAAAAACTTAATGATAAAATTTATGAATAAAAAGAATTTATTGAGAACAAAATTTATCTTAAGGGGAAAAAAAAAAAACTCAAATGCAATGGAATCAGAAAAATAGAATCAAAATAAAAAAAAGACAACTGCTCTGTGCTTCATAAAATAATCGTCTGCTTTTATTAATAAATAATTATATGCTTAAATTAATAAACAATCTCCTTATATTTTATTTTTTATAAATAGACTATTTTTAACAAAAGCAGATGTGATTCCACATCAAGAAAAACTTGCTAATGATACCGCTTTTCTAATAAATCAAAATTATGTTAAAAAAATATATATATATAGTTTTGTTAATCGATGTCAAGTAAATGAATATACCTGGTGATTAAAAAACGTTTTGTCTATAATAAATAATGCATTATCCGAAATAATAAACCAAACCATCATAATAAATCAAGGATAACAAAAACTGAGTAACTAAAGTGGATTTAAAATAAATCTCACATGTCAATACTCTTAGGCAGAAGTTTCAAGTTCCTCAACTCAGACATTTCACTGTGCAATGCATTTTCCCCACCCCCTCGTAAATCAAACAGAAAACGAAATCAGCACGCCACTCCTTTAAGTTTGATTGAGGGCAGCTTATCAGAAAAATAACCTACACACAGGAGAAAATAAAACATTTGTCCCTTCCCTGCCCTGTCTCGATCTAATGATCTTCAAGGTCAGGGGAAGAATTGAAGTTTCTCTGGGCAAATGAGAAGAATTCCTCCCTTTCCCTCTACTCAACTTCAAGGATGAGTCAAATTTCTGACTTTTTTTAAAAAATAATCGTTATACTTCAAAATAACGGGAAAACCAAGCAAAATTCTTTGCGGTTGTCTAGATAAATCTTTCTCTACTCTATTTATATTTATCTATTTTCTGTTAAAATAAAAGACCTGTCCACTACATTTTTAGGCCTAAGCATCAAAACACTAAATTGCATTTCTAAAAAATTCTTCTATATTGTAATATAACATAGCTACAAGTTATTTTCTATGGATATTATGAAGTAACTATCTTTTTCTTTACTTTACATTCTTTATTCGTAAACATCTAGACACTATTAAAGGGGGAGATTTTGTTACATTGGATCAGTTAACATAACTCCAAAATTGGGCATTTTAGTTGGAGGAAAAATACTTATCAAGCTGTTCATAGAAACATTTTGCAATATCTTATGTTAATTCCTGTCACCAAACAAACAGAATTATAAAATTACTACCTGTGAATTAAATTTTAACTTAACTGTTGCCAGAGTCAAAAGTTTAGATATGCTATGTCTCCTCTTTTTGAGAATTGCCAGTATAAGAATAACAATATAATAAAATAATGTGAAAAGAGCATTAATATGACGAGGAGATATATAATTTTGGTTCCATAACAAAGAACATTCTACAATGTTAAAATACAGAAAGTGTTTTCACATTGATGAAAGCATTTTGAAATACAGAATATATTTCAAAATATCTTCCATTTACAATTTAAAGAATCTGGTTGAATTTACTCACCTCTTTGAGAACTTAAACCTCGTTTTAAATTGCTACTATAGCTTGAATTATCAGCAAAGCTTTCTCTATTCATATAAGCCTGACTATTATTTGTACTTTGGTATGCTAAAAAAAGAAAGAAAAAAGTATTGCAATGCTATTTGTAGACTTAACAATAGTAAAATAATATAGGAAATTTAACCTTTTTTTATGGGTAAAGCATTTTTAATAAAAAAACTGGTATATTTTGCTATTTAAATACTTTAAAAAGTAGAAAATTAACAGTAAAATTTTTAAAAAAAATTAGTTTTATAGGTACCTAAATCTCAATTACATACCTGCCAACATTCACTCTTTTCGAGAATGGATTTTCCAAGTGGTAGTAAAACAATTACCGAAAAACTACCTTCCACAAAAATATATTTATATTTTAAACAAGTTGAAATTTGCTATCGTAAAGACTAATATGCTTTTATATATTTGTGGTAATTATTTATATGTAGTGGTAGCCAAACTCATTTACAATTATAATTAAAATTTTTTAGCAGAATAACATGAATTTCGCTACCACTTTAAAAATATGGAAATAAAATCTTCCGGGAAAACCGGAAGAGTTGGCAGCTATGCAATTATCAGAATTTTAACTAAATTTTCCAGATTGAACAAATTCTACATTTCCTCCATTTATTTTAGGCCAAAAGTATTTTTCTCAATAATTTTTACAAATCTATATGTGCCAAATTGGAGAAATAAAATAACGGAGACTTTACTAGCGTCATTTTTTAAGCTATGCTTTCAGTTTTGATACATCAGACAAGTCAAAAAATAAATTAAAAAATGGAAGTAATATAAGCACTTACATTTAGCGAAGTAAAAAATATGCAAATAAATCTTAATCCAAAGAAGATTTTTTTAAACCAACATTCATAATTACTTATGAAATAATTTTCATAATTCTAAGTAATTAACTATTTTAGAGAATTTTTACAAATTGATAATTCGAAAATAAGTAGCTGATTCGGCTTTGCATAGGGAATTTTTTATATCAAAGTTCTGTTACCAGCGAAACTACTTTTCAGTCAAAAGTAAGCTTTTCATCAGAAAGTAATGAGAGAAATTCAGAGTGAATTTTTTTTAAGTTAGAAAATTCTTTCGCACTCTGCATAGGACGACTAACAAACGACTGCTTCGTTTTTTGAACTCTTTAGTTTCACACAGTTCATTTTCTAGTTGCTCAATTGACACCCCCAGTAAATGATTCTGAAAACAGAATTACAATTATGTTTTATTGACCATCGTTAAAAATACAATGCAAACAAAGTTGTTGCCAGATTCAGATTCATTATCTGAGAAAAAACGATTCACTGAATAAACTAATCACAACAGCAGTCTCACTACATGCCGTTTGGTCGATGTGGCAGAGCATGAACTGGCAATAACTCCATCTGTTGAGGAACGAGAGAGGTATTTTTGCCACTAAAAAAGGTTTTCTTAAAATTTCTTCAAAATACACGGAGAAAATACAGGTAATCGGGAGATAGTCGTAAAACTAGGGAGTCTTTGTTAAAAAAAAAAAACTGGAGAATTGGCTGGTATGCAAATCTTTAAGTAGTTTTAAAAATCTCAATGTTTTAATAAAACATTATAACATATCGCCCACAGACTTTTTAAACAATGCTTCCACAATCAATGGAGTTTATCCAATCGCTTTTTCGGCAGACTTTTAAGTGGTTAATAATTTTAATACTATATTGCAAAATTTGAATTTAAATACTCACTTTTTGACACACACTATAATTAGCAAAGCAAGTTCATAGGGTTTTATCGATTGCTAAAGATTAAAAAAATGTCAAATATCTGTCAAAAACATTTTCCATTGACACTTTTCTAGTCACTTTAAGGTAATTATATTAAAATCTTAATTTTTGAAAACATGCTGTAAAATTTCATAATTCTTTGTGCTTGAAAAAGTAAATAAGCAAGCTTAAATTTTATGAGGGATTTTCATAAAATAAACTGGAGGGCTTGTTGAAAACTGCAAATTTTAGACAAGTGTTTGTTGAAATTAAAAATGTATTCTAATGATTGGAATGTTCATTTTAATCTTCATAAATTTAAGATTAAAGTTTTGGAATTCATTTGAAATTTTAAAATGCTAAAGTTGTGATAGTTAAAACGGCATTAAAGTGAAAGCACTATGTGTGCAAGTTGATTTTCTTAATTAATGTGTTTACATGCATTGAATTTTTTTGATGCCTCGTGATGGCTGACATTTGGTGTAAGTTAGACAAGTCCTAATCTAACATATCCCTAAATAACCATAGTCTTTATTTAGACAAAAAACAGGGTTTCAACAAAAAACCTTTTAAATAAGCACTATATACATTAACAAAATGCAAAACAGTTTTTAAAGACTTTACATGATAACAAAGAACTCTTTTCTTGATTATATTAGCCACCATAAAAACATGGAGAGATTTTTCGGTTTGATTTCAGATGGAGGAAAATGAAGCCAGAAATTGGGAATCTTTTGCCAATTGCAGCAGCAGCCAATTGCACATGAGAGCAAGAATATCACCAAACCCAGCTCAATATAAGCACATGCTGACTCACAAGTATTTAATCAAACATATAAAATGATTGCCTCTTACATACACTACGGACCGAGGGTACGCCGAAATGCATTGTAGATTAAACAGGGTGGCAACTCAAATCAGGTTTCAAATTTCCCTGATTTTCCAATAAAATTCTTAAAACTTCCAGGTCAGCGTGTTCTCCCCCCCCCCTGCTAAACTGTAGTATAGGTGGATGAAAAGTGTCAATATTAGTGTATTAGTCAATATAGTATAGTACTTCATTTAAAATTTTATTTTTTCAATATATCATCTTGAATAGATGTGGAGGAAACAATATGTTTAGCTTGCAGAAAACAACGCTTTTAATGAATAAAATTTTTTTAAAGTGTTAAATAGTTTTTGCACAAAATGTACCAAATAGCAATGACCCAAAACAACCTTGGATAAGTACTGTTTAATATATTTTTATTAAGCGAAAGAAAATAATTCCAGGTGATTAGAAACCAATAAATTCTTATACTTATTTATATTTCAAAATAGAGTCATTTTATACAAACAGTGCTCTTTATAAAATTCATTGAAATAATTTTCTTTAAACCAATATTGTAAGTCAAATGTTTAAATAATGTTGTTTCTTTCAAATTAGCACTATTATTTTAAGTCATATTCAGTATTTGTAAACGAAAATTTTTCAATTTCTTGTTGCATATTCTATACAGAAAAAAAAAACTAGATACAATTCTTTAACTTTTATTCTATTATTAAAAAAAAAAAAAAACGATAAATACTAAACTACTAACTAAATTTTGCAAAGATTTGACTATTTTTGTTCACTTTTTAAAAGGTATAGCATGACATAACTAATATAAAGAGGCGAATTATTTAAGCCTACGAATTATTTAGAAATAGTGGTGGATAAAAATCTACTAAATTGAATTTATTAAACCAAAAATCACAATTGATAAACTGCCACTTTAAAACATTTGCTGTCCAGAGCAAGCTGGCATCTCTGTGTTGAAGAAGTCCGAGACGCATCAATTACTGTTTTGCCATAAGAAGCAAATGACGTCTCCCCAAAGTTCATACAGAGATCAGAAGAAGAAAGCCAAAGAGTATCCAAGGAGTCAAAATTTTCAGACTTATAAAAATTTAAAAACTTTGTGTGAAAAATAACTAGACAGTTTTTTTAAAAAAAAAATTAAAAAGCAGTTATTATAAGGAACTTGAAAAATGTATATTTTGCATAAGATATTTTTTCTAGCCCTTTTGAAATAAATTTCGACTTTGTCAAACTCTATGAAGAAAAATAAATTATCACTTTTACACATAAATACATTTTCCAGTTTCAAATATTTTAATAAATCTCGTTGTTAAAGATTAACATAAAAACCTACCAATCTTATATTTTTAAATTTGAATACAAAAGAAAATCTAAGGCATTTCATACAAAAAAAAATCAGAGTAAATAATTAATTAAGTTTGCTTGTAACATGTAAAATTAAAAATTTTCTGCTGTCATTTTTTTCTTCTAACTCTTGCAATTCAATTTTTTTTTCTTTTAAAGTTTTTCTTAAACTAGTAGATTTTGACAGATAAGTCATATAATTTAGTTTCCCTGCTTGAACAGCAAATTCTTCAGCGGACTAAGTTTATCTATGCAACACAATAAATCCAAGGAGTTTCTAAGGATTAATTTGGAAATCTTAAGTAGTTCCAACTACTCCTTGGAGACTTTATTTTCAAGGAGTTTCTAAGGAGCATAAGGAGTCTGTATGCACCCTGCAGACGTCTTCGTATGTCAAGGGGTTAAGGGCTCTTAAATAACAAAAATAGAACATAAGCACTTTTTAAAAACGCTACACGCCATGGAGACACGTGTATCATACCTCTATCATTTCTGTATTCCATCTGGCTCGATCCTCTGGCATAGGGATTGCTGCCTGCTCTAGATCTACTCTCTCCAAGAGCCTCACCTCCATTCCCAAAAGACTGCTGCTTTGTTATATTGCCTAGAATATATATACACAATCAATTATCCTAATAAGAAATACTATACTCTAATCAAATTTTTTTTTTTTAATTCTACGACAGGGTGTGTAGCCAAATATCTTAATAAAAAATAAGCACCTTTTATGTACTTTCTAAGCACTCAAAAAATATTTGTAAGCATTATATACATTAACAAAAGGCTAAATAATTTTCAATGAGTTTAAGTGATTATGATAAAACAACTAGTTTCTGACAAAGGTCTCTTTTCTTGATAATATTAGCCACCATAAAAAGATTGAGTGATTTTTCGGTTCGATATCAGAGGGTGGAAAATGAAGCCTGAAATAGAGAATAACTTGCAAAATGCAGCAGAGATGCACATGAGAGTGCAATAATCTCACCGAGCCCCGCTCCGTACACACACATGCGGACTTGCAAGTATCAGGGGTGATTGTGAGCCCAAGTCAAAATTCCGGAAAATTTCTTGAGTAAAAAAGAAAAGCTATGATGACCTATATACCTATGATGACCTGGAGAAGTTATTGAAGTTTACAAATATGTCTTTCTTTCTTGAGTTTATGATTATAATAACTATTTACTGATAAAAACTTATGAAGTATCTTACTGGCTCTCCCTTACAAACAAATGAAATAAACTGTGTTTTTAAGTTCCACCTTTGAAAATTTGATTTCCGGAAACTTTTGTGATCAAGGATTTTTTAAAATGTCTGAACTTTCGTTCTCCGGAAACTTCTGGATCACGGTTAGCGAAAAATCAGGAAATCCGGATTTTTTCCAGAGCACAATCAGCCCTGAAGTATTTTAACCAACATGTAAAATTATTTCATACACTACGGGCCAACCGTACGCCGAAACAGATTGTTTTTTTTTTTTTGTTTTTTTTAAATCTCCTTCATGGCAAACCAACGTATTTCATTATAAGCAACTAAATATTGTTGAAATCATCAAATCAAACAGAATAAGACAGCTTTGGAGCTTATTTAGATAAACATACCTGTCAGCATTGGAGAAATAAAATAACAGATTTCACTAGTGACATTTTTTATGCTATGAGTAAAGTTTTGATACATTATACATAATCATCTAAGTCAAAAAGAGAAATTAAAAATACTATAAGAGCTTACATTTAGTGCAGTAAAAAATATGTATACAAATCTTAATCCAAAGATTTTTTTAAAAATCATTATTTATAATTACTTGAACTATTATATTTTATAACCTTCGTTGAACAGCCAAACAAATTTTGAGTTTATGACTACTAATGTTTAACTCTGTAGCCTTGTAATTTTGAACCCTATCCAGAAGGCAAATGAACACCTAGGTCAATTATAGGGAGAAATTTGCCTTCATAAAGTAAGCCTCCCACATTTAGCCTGACAACAAGGGTACTCTAACCCGTGATCTGCCTACCACTGAGGATATTTAACATCAGCACTTTAGTCTGTACAAGCTGGATGCATAACTCGTATCGACCAGTCATCGCTGGGATTCGAACCCGGTTCACCTCATTGGAAAACGAACACTTTATCCCCTGAGCCATCATGACTAACTATTACCACTCAACATACTGCAGTACTGGCAATAGCACCATCTGTTGAGGAATAAGAAGAGTATTTTTGCCATTAATGGATATTTTATCACCAAAATTCGTCAACAAATGCGGAGAAATTTAAAAATATACGGGTAAACAGGAGAGAGTCGTAAAATATGGGAGTCTGTGTTAAACAGGAGATTTGGCAAGTATGGATAAGAGAATTATCCCATTAAGCTGCTAATCTTAAACATGCTAGATGGCCTAGTAAACAGATAAAACCACCACTCAGATTGGAAATGTTGAAAAGATTTCAAGACATAAATGTGACCGACTAATAATTACATTCATTCTATATTTATCTTTACAAATCAGAATATGTAAGATTTTATTTTAAACAACTGTTTTTATAGAGAGCTAAAAAGAAACTTGGAGGAAATTTTCGGTAAAAAAAAAATTGGTGTTTTTGAAAATAAAACAGAATTTTAGGTAAAATTAAAAGAGGAAATCCATTAAATGGGAGGAAAATAATCATTAATGGGTTAAAATAAACTTTATAAAGTAAGGCACATTTTTTGAACTTTTCTTTATGCCTTATTTGGCCAAATATAAATTTTTTTTTTAAAATTCAGCAACAAGATTTAACAATAGTCACCAAGTTAAGTAATCCAATTTGTTTTGGTTTTAAATAAAATGCTGAAACATTCTCACACTGTTTAAAATAAATGCTTATTTATCATCGATAAATGGCAACCTCCCTTTCTTCTTATGCATGCTATTGAACACCTTATACTATTTTAAACAGGATTTTAATGAAAATATAGTAAAATGATATTTTTCATTATTTCTATTAAAATGTCTGTCTAAGAACTATTATTCGATGAAATAAACACCTCGTGAAACACATCCTTCAAAAAATTTTGCGGCAATATATTTCCTTTCAATTAGTTCAACTAAAAATTTCCTCAGAGCTCTGAGGGAACAGAACCTCATCAGCTCGATCAGATTCCGTACTCCTGGTTGCAAAATAAACTGCAATTTATTTTAAATAAAATACCTTTAAATCCAATAGTAGTTCAAACCAAAGGAATTTTTAATCCTTAATTAAAATTTTACTTGGTAATAATACTACTTTCCTCGGATAAAGTGAAAATTTAAATACAGAAAGCTATCGGTAACCTTCAAGGGACCGAAAATTCAGATTCTCTGAAAAGTTAATTGCTGACTCCACGATTCCCCCATCGTCTAAAAACAATTGCACATAAGATTACTACCATATTATGAAAACAAAAATAATAATAAAATACTATGAAACGTAAAAAATTATTAACCATTAATAAAAAGTTAGCTTACTTTCTGGAATTTCATTGCAGTCAAATTGAGTTGAAGGTGCACTTTGAGGGCTTTCTGTGCCAAGTTGCTGATAAGGGAGGGAGAAGAAAAAAAAAGAGCTTAACTTCGACATTCTTACTATGAAGTTTGAAATTGGCTTTCAAAAATCATTGATTCAATTAAAGTTAAAAAGATATTTACACAATATCAAATAAATCATATATATCAAGTATTCAATATGCATATATACTATTTGAATTCATTCTTCAAGTCATGATTTTCAGGTGATTTGGTTCGGACAATTCAGTCAATAGACATCCAGATAAATGAAGCTCTATTGCAGTTAAGGATTACTTTTTTTCACGAGTTATTGATAGAATACAAATAAAAGCAGGAATAATAAGAATTAGTTAAATTCAATGTAGCAGAAGTATATGTCATTTCAGAAAATAATAGACTAGAGCAAATTGACTTATTCTAGAATTCAGTTATTTCTTCAGGTAAAAAATAAAAATTTTGTCACTTGATTGGAATTACAAATTTTGGTAATTTTGTTTAGTGGTATTATTATAAAAACAAGAAGAAATAAGACTAGAAAAGAGAGTCAAATCTATTTCTTTTAACAGCTTCTGCAAGTGTAGTCTTTCAGAGTTAATTTTTGTTTATATATATATAAAAAATAAAAAAAATACAGTCAAACTCCGCTCTAGTGAACATGGTTTATAGTGAACTCCCGGATATAGTGAACAAAATGTTTGGTCCCATGCCTTGCTATACACGTATAATGTTATTTTTTTGCAGATATAGTGAACTAAAAAAGTGAGGAAGTTGGATATTATAAACTTTTTTTCTGTCTTCGACTGATTTTGTTAAAAATAATTTTGAAATGTCTACTTCACAATAAATACTTATACTGATTTTTGAAACCATCTGATTGAGTGGAATGTAGCCATAAGCATTTTTTCTTTTATCTCACTTTTCCATCCCTAAACAACGGCCAACCCAGGCAAATGTATGGACAAATTTTCCCTGCATCAGCCAAAGATTACTAATTTTTTTTTGTACACAAGACGAAGAGTCATAAAAAATAAAAGCAAGTTGACACATTTTTTGTAACTACGTATTATTTTTCAGTCATTATTGGTCAATTATTTAAATAATGTATAATAANATTTCCAGCTTTTCTTTAAAATTCCCTGATTTTTCCAGGTTTTTTCCAGTATAAAAAAATTCCCTGATAATTCCAGGTGGGTGGCCACCCTGTTTATTTAAATAACGTATAATAAAAAGAAGGAGTTCGGAACTTTTAGTTAAAATTGTTTGTGGAGAGGATATAGTGAACTCCCGGTTATAGTGAACCGAAATTTCGGTCCCTTGAAGGTACACTATAACGGGGTTTGACTGTACTTTCAAATAAAACAAATAATTTTATATCATTAAATTCATGTAAAATTAATATTTAGTTTTAAGATCTGATTTTTAAAAAATTATGATTTTGTTCAAGTTAAAATGTTTAAAAAATAGTTTCTTTAAAAAAAATTATAACTGTTTAAGGATGTTTTTTTTTCTCAGACAATTTTTGAAAATCAGAAGAAAAAAAAAATTCAAAATCTGACAAAACGAATTGAGCTATTTGCACAATAAAGCAATATATTTATAATTGATGTGTCTTTCATAGTGATTTACTATTCAGAGCTGCAATTCTAATACAATAAATGCAATTACAAAAATTTATGAGTTTCAAACAAACACAATTTTAGTGATGCATGGGCAACAAGATAACATTAAAAGTACAACAAGACTTTTGATAATTGCAAATATCTCTGGATATTGTGAAAAATAAAAGTTCTCACAAATAAAAATTATTGTTCTTTTATGACAAATAATTTTATTTTGAAAAGGAATATAAATCTAAATTTGAAAAAGAAACCTTAATTAGTTAAAAAATTTAATTATGTATAGAGCATTACAAATGCATTTCTATGGAGCAAAATTGATGATCACCACAGACCATCAGTGACTGAATAAAACGAATGGCAATTATAAAACTCTTTGCTAATATACATCATGTGAATTTTATTATTCTGTTTAATGACTACAGAATTATTACGAATATTTTATATTATTCTGCTACTTACTTTCTTGAGGTCAACAATTCACATGAAGACGGGTGACTGAATATACTAAATAGAAATTTAAAAAGATTGTCTGCTGATTGCCACTTTCTTTTATCAAAAATGCTCCCCATGAGAATTTTATTATTTTGTTGAATGGCTATAGATTGTTTTTAAAAATATTCTCAAAATTACTTCATTTCCCTCTTTTTTTCTTAGAAATGAACTTTATAGTGTTCACCCTATTTAGAGAAATGCTTCATAATAAATGCCGTAAATAAAATTGACAGTTTTTTTTTAAATAGTCTAATGTCAGCAATAATTGAAAAGCAAGACTTTCATAACAAACTGCAACAGTAGCAAATCTAACCAACAGCTTAATTTTGCCCTATATATGCTAATATAATGAAAGTAAGTAGTTATATTCGAATAATACATTGTTCCGCCACGTCCTTTTTGAGCACTCTGTGCTTTAGGAGAAATAAGTAGTATAAAAATTATGCTTATTGTCCTTACTTGCCATTTTGTTAAACATAATAATGTAAAACAGCAGGAAGGACAACTATCAAGAAAATTTTTTTAAATATTTGGCAGTGATAGTCCCTCATCAAAAACACTTCTAAGCATGATGAACAACCCATTAATTATTCAAATAACTCAACTTTATTATTTTTACTCTCAGAAATATACGATTGTGAAATAGAGAGATATTTGAGTAAAATGTGCACAAGGATAAAAAAGGAATGTGTGAAATGGTTCAGTTATTCTATATTCAGGGATGAGAGTAGTCAGAAAGTAAAAAAGAGGAAATCCAAAAAGATATATATAGACAAAAATTTGACAAAAAAATAAAAAAATTTTAAACTTGTAAACCATGTGATTATAAATCCCGATTTGAGGCTTTTAAATGACGTAAATATGAAACTCTACATCGAATTTAAAAAATGCGAAAATACAAATCATGATGCGTAATTTTTAGATCACGATACATAACTTTTAAATCGCGTGATATTATAACCGCAAAAACGAATCACGACATTGGATTATAAGCTCGCGTGAATACAAACTGCTACATGGGGTTTTAAACGCTCGCAAATAAAAATCACGATGCTGGTTTTTTAAATCTCGTAAATAAGAATCGCAATGTACAATATTTAAATCGTCTGAATAAGAATCGTAACGTTCAACTGTTAAATCAGGCAAATACGAAAATCGATGTTTGATAATAAAATCGCGACTTTAAAAATGCATAAATACAAAACACGATATTGGATTTTTAAATCTCGTAAATAAGAATCATAATGTACGTACGGTATTTAAATAGCGTAAATAAGAATCGCAATGCGCAACTTTTAAATCAGGTAAATACGAAAATCGATGATTGATATTAAAATCGCGTGAATAAAAATCGAGATATTTGCAGAGTCTGGACTTGGGATTTCTAAAAGGCTTGTTTGTATTGTTTTTGTTTAGACATAATAAATAAAAATTTACAAGATTAACTGAATGAGCAAATAAATATTTTCACCGCAAATCCACCTCTATTTTCTCTCTCTTTGTTTGTTTTCACGCCAGAATACAAGAAGCAGCGACACTTGAATTACGAAAATACGAGCTATGCCGCCGACGGTTCAAAAATACGAAAATCTTATTTTCTGTGCTTGAAATTGGAGAAAATAGCTAATATAAGTCACAATGCAGAAGGGTTAGCAGCTAGGACGTAGTTGGAATTTTCTGTTTAGCTTTGAAAATCGTAAATAAATATAATTATTTTACTTCAACAACTGAATTTTTTAAAAGCGGGATATTTATATATTACATTTAATATTTATAAAAAAAACTAAACTTTTAGAGAATCGGAGTTTTTGATAAAAAGGCTGAAATTCGAGAGTCAAAAAAAATCTCATCCCTGCATAAAGGCCAACCAGTTTTATCCCAAGGAAATGATCTTTAGAGAAACTTCAGAGGGACTTCAATAATTTCGCTCCGTGGAAAATTAAATTCCTCATAAAATATTTTAACTTGTGCAAAAAAAAATTTCAGCGGAAATTAGAGGGGAAAATGGAAAAATCTTAAAAAAAGCGGAAATCCGCGAAAGAATCTCATCCCTGTATATTAAACATTTACTTTAACAATTTTCAGTTGTTTAATTATTTTATTTATTTATAACTGGGCATAAATTAATTATAAAAGAAATAATGCGTTCACGATCATTTTATGCTTTGATCATTTTAGCTGTTTAATTATTTGATTTAATAAATAATACTTAAATATTTCAAATCAAATTCAGATAAAGTGACGTGATCGCAATTTTCTTATATGGTACAATTTAATAATTTACTTTAATTATATGTAGGTTCTTAACGTAATGCTTTTGCGTTTTAATTGTGGACATTTGCACATGGTACAATTTTACATCCTTTTGAAAAGTTATGATAAAAATTAATATGTAATTTCTGACTTTAAGTAAGATCGCACAGATTAATTTATTGTATATTTAATAATTATCTCAATGATTTTTAAAAATATTTATTTATATTGTACATAACTTGAAATGTGTTAACTCTGAGATTAATCATCAATCACGCAGTTAAGTTTTGTACAGCGTATCTAAAGCAAAACCTTTCCTTTTTATTCAAATTTTAAGAAAGCGGTGTATCTTCGCATTTAAAATGTAGTAGTATTTCATTTAAGTTCATATGCATAAATTAACTTAATCAGTAAAACAAACTCACAGTATTGTTCAATTTTGTTAGCAACTAATAGGCAATAAACTGGTACCATAAATAACCTATCCCACAGAGTTCCTATATCAGTCTGAAACTTATGTCAACATAATTAGTATTGTAATATTTAGATTATTTAACACTGACAATATAAAAGGTCTTTTAAGTTTAGAACAAATAACTTATAATGGATTTACTTATGCTATCTTAAAATAATATTACCTTATTCATTGAAATGAAGAAAAATTAAGCTTTTATATACTAGTTTGACACTGTACTGTAGTAGAACATTAAAAAAAAAATTTTTTTTTTTTTTTAAGATTCATTATTATTTTAATACTTAACTTATTCACTGAAATATATCAATTAATTTCACTTATAGAAATAAATTTAAGTTTTGAATCACCAGATTTCTACAATATAATTTTTATATGTGTATTAACTTTCTCAAATAATAAAGATTAACAGCTTTTAACAATGAAATATTTTATTCCGAAGAAAATTTTAAAATGCCATAAAGAGGAAACTTTTAAAAAATTTAAGAATGTGATGAAGGAAATTGTAACAAAATGTAAATGTACATTTTGCACATTGTGTTTTCAAATTTTTTCATGGAGTTAATTTGAGCAGTGTAACTACCTTACATATATGTCATTAAGACAAAGAAATTAAACTTTATTTAGAAAAAAAAAAGAAGAAAGAAACATTTCTTGAAGAATGTCATACAAATTAACACTTATAAGTGTTTTTTAAGTGAAACTAAAATTTGGCGTGTCTTTATAAGTTACTGCAGTACAGTAAATGAATGTGCGAAAAAGGCATCTTTGAACTATAATTTTAGAGATAAAAAATTTCGGCTGAAAACTAAAATTCTTCACTTCCTAAAAGAAAATTCTTTCTGCAAGAAATCAGTCATATTCTGCGACAATGTCGCCACTATTCTGCCACGGGGAGCAAAAAAAAAGCAAATTCTGAATCAAAACTTAACAAATCCCCGTTGGAAAAAAAAAAAGGGACTATCGAAACTTGTTTGATTGATGAAGGAAACAGAGGAGATGAAAAGCAATTAGAAAGATTTTATATTTCAGTATAATAAGGCAACCAAATTTATGTTTCCATCCTACATTTCACATTTATGATTTAACAGATTTTGAAAAAATTTTTCTAAATAATTATTTATCAATGCAATTTTACTTACATTTTAACAAGGATCTAAAAATACACTGCTCAAAACAATTTTAAGGATATTGTATAAAATAACGGTATAAGCAACTTTTTTTCTTTTGTAGCATAAAATGGAAGAGTCACAAATACAAACTGTGCATACTGCTTTAGTGGCAGCAAATCTGATTTGTCTCTCAACTTAATGTAAGACAAAGCCGAAAAGAATGTCAGTAAGAGCGCTGTTTCGATGAGTGTGATGTCTCGATGAAGTCATTTAACTGAATCAAAAGTTTGGAGAGCTGTTGGTCGGTTAGCGGGGTGCCAAATACGAACCGAAGTAGTGGAAGCCATTGGAGTTTCACAAACTCTGATTTCCAGGATCTGGAACCATTTACTGGAAATGCAGGCCGAAGACGAGGGTAAGGGCATAGACCTGCAACAACGTCCAATGAAGACCATTATTCAACGCTAACAGCTCAGAGACACCGAAATATAAAAGCCAGGCTTCTTCAACATCTTTGCTCGGCTTATGGCACCACAGTTTCGACACGAGCTATCTGAAACCTCCTTCACGCTATAGGGTTTGTAAGCCTGTCGACCAATGGTGTGTCACGTCACCAGCAAGGCACCGTCACGCCTAAAAGAATTAGGCAACAGAGCATATGAACTTGAGGAGAAATGAATGGCACAATATTCTTTTCTCCGTTCATCCTGATAATAGGCATATTTTCATCCAGAGGGAACATGACACTAGAAACAATCCTGCACTAGTTCACGAAAGTGTAAGATTTGGCGGTGGGGGAGTGATGGCCTATGCTGGCATTTCCATTAATGGGTGCATCAATTTCCACATAATTTGAAATAGAGAGTCACTGATATAGGGATGAGATCCTGAGTCATACTGCATTTCCTTAAGCTGCAGGAATTGGAGATGACCTCATGTTAATGAATGACAATAGCAGGCCACATTGTGCTAACTTGGTGCAATGATTTCCTTTAGGAGGAAGGAATCATACGAATGTGTTGGCCAGCCTGTTCTCCAGACTTGAACCCAATCGAACACATTAGGGACAATCTAGCAGACAAATTGCTGGCTGCCTACTACCCCTACAAACTCTCCAAGAACTGGAAAGAGCTCTTCTGGAAGAGAGAAACAGAATACCCCAGAACAATAATTCCATTAACTCAATCAGGGTGCGTAGTCAAATCTCTGAATCAAAAATAAGCACTTTTTAAAAACTTTTCAAGCACTTTACAAAAATTTTCAAGCACTCAAAAAATTCATATTCAATCAATGATATTATTGAAAAACAAAAACTTTTTATAAACAGTTTTAGCGTTAAAAAAAACCCAAAAAGAAACGGGCGTAAATCGAAACAATCAGTACTTTCCCACATCACCGAGTGAATTCAACTTGACCCTGAACTCAGAACAAAAGTACCCTTACCCCCTACGTCAAAAAAAGTGTTAGAAGTAAAATAAAATAAACAAGAACAAAATTAAAATAAATTAAAAAGAAAAACATTTCATAAGGATCTGATATTCTCTATCCGAATTGGAGCACTCGGGTTTCGGTTTCAAGTATGCGCGCATGCGCAAGTCATAACGTGGGTACGACATGAAGTCCGCGTGAATGATTACGTAGCAAACTCTCCATTTTTCGTAAAATGCATGGGATCCACCAGATATCACTGAAGGGAAGAAAAATAATTATTCGGAAAAAAAGCACTTTTTAAAAACGCCAGCTGAGAAAAGCACCTTTAAAAGCTTTTAAAAACGAAATCCCCAAAAAAAGCACCTTTAAGTACTTTTTACAAACGCTACGCACCCTGTCAATGCCTCAAAGGTGGTCAACGTTGCAGGTCGCCGGGGGGGGGGACAATACCCCCCAACTAAAAATTATTTTTGCTTAAGGAAACGCCTTTTGTTTTTTTTCACACGCACAAATTGTGTTTCTTTTCCCGTTGGTACCCATATGCTCAATAAAGTGCATTTTTTCAGCCAAACAAATGTCATTTTTATCTCGTATAGCCGACTACGTCTGTCAATAATGTATCAATCATTCAAACAATTCTCCAGGCGCAAGATCAACCCACAACCTCAATATCCCTTAATTGTTTTGAGAAGTGTATATATTATGAATGGTTCGGAGTAGAAATTGAAATTTTATCACTGGTTCAAAGGACCATTATTTAAATGATTTTGCTATCCCTCAAACATTTTCATTGGTCCGTTCACCAATTGGATTGAAGAGTAGGAACATTTCATGAAAATTTTTTTACATATTTATATTGTAACTAAATCTTCATAATTGTTCCCCCCCAGATGTTTAATATTACGTATTTATTGTAAATATATTATATTAAATACTAAACTGAAAAACAAAATCAAATGAAATTTTATGAAAAATTGAAGAGAATGTTTAATAGTTAAAATTCCAAAGTAGAGACCAAAATATCAAACCCACTAACTAAATCACAGCATTCATTTACACTTGTCCCCCAGTTAGATTTTAGTGTTCTCAGACACATCTTGGTAGTTATTACTGAACACTTCATACATTGGGTAGCAATGTAGGAATCATGACCCAAATTAATAATTCAAAAAGAAAGAAAGAAAAAAAAAAGCATGCCAAACAATGAAACTCATCCTCACATCCATTTTCAAGCAAAGCGAATAGATGTTTGCCTGTTGTGCTGATGCAGTTGAAAGTCCACTCACCGATGAAGGTAAAGAATTTGTAACCACAACAGAACTCCTTTGAGGCAAAACCATGTTTGCAGGTAGAACGTGAGCTGGAGAAATGGAGTGCGTCACAGGAACGTAGCTGGGGGGCACCGCAATCATTGGATGGATTGCTGAAGTAAAACTCTGATTGGTGTAAGTCTGAGTTGGGATTGGCCTAGCTGGATCAAAATCTATGGGCTGAGTGGTTGGTTGCAAAACAGGAGGAATACTAGATTGTGGAGATGGAACAGTTGCCAATGCAATATTTGCAGTGACAGGATGACTGGTTTCTTCACTTGTTCTGCGTGTTCGCTGTTGTTGGACAAGATTAGGAGGCATTGGCTGAGGTGGTGCAGAATACTCAGTGTATGAAAGTGAAGGTGGTATTTGAGATTTTACAAGAGAAGCTGAAACAAATCACATTTAAGATGTTAAAAACCATTATAAAACTTTTTAAATTCTGAATATAACATCTGATTTTTCTATAATTTTGACAGCATAACTATAGAAAAAATAAATTTCAGAATTAGTTTAACCTTCATTTTAGTTTAAACTTACTTTTTAAAAGCAATAATTTTTCTATTTTATTTTGGAACTTCTTTTACCACAAATTGATTAATAACAATGTGAAAAGTCAAACTCAACCCTTAAAACAATTAATAAAATTGATACTTATCTATATGAAAGTCTCTTTTTTTACGTATTTTAAACTTTTTTTAAAGAATACATATTTAAAAACATTCTATTAAAAATTTGAAGCAAATAAAGAATTGTAATACCAGATATAGTAGACATAAACGGGAGTATTAAATACTGCTAATAAAAAATTCATTTGTATTATAAAAATTTCTGGTACATATAAGAAATTTATAGACTTGAGAATTGTATTTATTATGTGCTAGGTTTCGGATGTAATGTCTAAAAAAAATAATAGTTACTTGCCCAGTAGATTTTCTAATGATAATTATTAATATTGGTCATTTGCTAACAAAACCTGACATTACTAAACTAAGTTTAAACTTAATTGGGAAAAAAAAAATTTTTTTTTTTTGTATTGTTTTCAAATTCCTTGAATACTTCATTAAATATTAAATGACACAATTCTCATAATAGATCCACATAATAATTCACCTACAAATCATATCGGGTTTCGTAAAAATTTATCAAATTTACTTTTTATTTTCAATTGCTCTTAAAAAGCACGGATGCATATTACAACCTATTTACTTAAAAAATGAGCTTTAAAAGAGTTTCTATGAGCATTTTATGGGAGATACATGTACAATTAAAATAAAATTTCTTACATTCCACTTCAATCTGTGATTCTTGCAAGAAATTCAAATTTCCTTGAACAGATAAGACTTCTTGTATTGGATGAGGTTGCTCAGCAGAATAAATTGGTTGGTTTTCAATTTGGTAATATGGAGGAGGTTCCACTTGGGATTCACTTTTCTCTGGAAAATCTTCCACCTATTCATAAAAGAAATGAAATTAAAATTTGATTCCCTAAGAGCCCTTCTTATATCTAACTTCAGATTAAGAATCAGAATTTACACAAAAAGCATTTATTAAACAGCAAATATCATATTTAATAAACTTTTTAAGTGAAGAGTATTTTTCAGAAGTTATTCAAATTTAAATACAGTGGAACCTGTAAAAGTGACCACCTGGGTAAAGTGATCACCTGAGTAAGGTGACCATTTTCTATAAGTTTTATTTAAAGAGTCCTTTTTAAAGAGTCTTCATAAAGTGATCACTTCTATATAGTGACCATTTGACTTGGTCCCGAGGGTGGTCAATTTAGACAGGTTCCACTGTAACTCTAAAAAAAAATTTAACCATGTTACAGTAAAATTCTTACCAAAATGGTAAGAAATTTATTTAATATAATTAAATTAAATTTATTTATAATTAAATTTATTATTAAATTTAAAATTAAATTTATTTATTTTGAGCATCATTTGGTACTTATTACCATGAATTTTAAATTTATTATTTTCCAGGTTTCAGACAAGATTTTCTCAAATTTTTGGTATTTATTGCAATATTCTTTGACTTTTTTTTACCCCCAAAATATAATTCTCAGACAGTTCCAGATTTTCTTAGCTCAAAACTTCAAGCTTGATTGGGATCTGCAATTTTTATACTGTGCGCCTCAATTTTAAACATTTGAAAAAAGAGGAACTTTAAAATCCAATTCACCTGAGCAGATGGATATGTTTCAGCAGGGTGAACATATTCTTCCGTTAAATTCTTATCATCTTCCTTTTCCTCTGAATCATTGGAATTTTCAGCTTCTTCATTCAAAGGTTCTACCTCTGACTTATTAAAATAGCTACAGTTGTGGATCTTCTGTAACATTTCCCTAAGAGACTTATCTATGCAAATGTTAAAGAGTTCAACAAAACAGCTACATCAAATACACATATTAAATTCTTCAGCAATTGAAATGAATAGTTTGTGATTAATATGAAATGATGGCTGACGTAATAGCAGAATCTATCTGCAAAAGTATTGAAAAATTCTGACATTTTTATGCACACATTAAAGTAACATACAAAGGTGATTGTGAGCATTTCTTGAGTAAAATCTTTCAAAAAATTAATGCCCTTAAAAATTAAAATGATTGATATTTTCAAAACATTAAATTCCATATAAATTATATGCAGCATAATTTAAATGAATAATTATTTGTAAGTTTACTTTATCTCTAATCTCATTTATCTAATCTCTACTAGAAAAAATATTTACAAATGAAAGACATGCCAAGTATAAATTCTAGTACTAATATTTTTGAATAAAATATACAAGAATTTTTAGACATAAATGTGACCGATGATTTCTTAAAACTTCTCGACCTTGGATTTCCGAACCACGGTTAGCGAAAAATATGGATTTTTTCCAGAACACAATCATCTCTGAATATAATGTATTCGTCAAGATTACAAAGATGAGGTAGCAAAAAAGGGGGGGGGAAGAAAAGCATTGCAAAAGGGAAAAAAAAAAAAGAATAATATAATTGTATAAAATGAAAGTTTCAATTCATATTTGATTTAATTAGATTCATATTGAAATACAAAGAGAAATATTCAATTATTTTCTACAAGTTACAAAATCCTAAGGATGATTAAATCAAATCATGAAAAACAGCAATTGAAAACAAAATTTTAAATATTTTATTTTGTTAAAAAAAAAAGATTGAAATCCTTAAAATAAAAAATGATTCGATTAAGGAAATTTGTCAAGTTTTTCTAGTAGCAAAGGCAAAATCTTTTTGAAGTAAAACTTTAAACAAATATGACAATACATAATAATATGTGACATAAAAAGTAATTCAAGACATATTTAATTTTCCTCTAACTACATTACCTGCGAAGGGTGTAAATCAAATGACTATTAACAAAATTAAAATATTTTATTTAAAAAAATAATAAATAACTGGCTCAAAGCGAAAATAAATTCCAATTATAAATAGTGGTTATGGTAATTTTCCATGTATTTTTAATGCAGATTTTGAGTAATGAGGGTAATATTTTCAAAAGGAACAAAATAATATAACATAAACATTATAGAAAATACTGAATACTAATTCATTTAAAGCAAATGTAAGATCAGTGATTCAGCTTATGTGAGCTAAAATGCTTCATATACGCTAAAATTCATAGAGGAAGTGAAGTTATGCAACTCTTCAGTGAGGAAAAAATAAAACGTAGCCAAACAGATTTATGCCGGAAAAATTAAAACCAGGCTTATTAATAGTTGAATGAGAACATTTGAATAATTCTGAGCATTAAATTACATTATTGAGTTTTCTTGATGCAAGTGTTCCATCAGTTCTAATTAAAAGCTTCATTTTAGGATAGCTTAGAATAAATCTGCTAGAAGATAGTTCAGATATAATTGAGTTAGAAATAAATTATTAATTTAGAAAGAAAAAAAAAATCAGCAGAGCAGTACAAAGCACATGATTCAAAATAAAGTATTTTAGTTTCAATTCTTGAAATTCAGTTTTTCTATTTGTCTTCCAGAACATAAATATACAAGCATATGAATTTAAGAAAACATATGTAAATACTGTTTTTGATAATGTATAGTAAAAAAGACTATTTTACATTGTTCCTTCCTTAATCTATTAAAACTCATATTTAAAAAAATATTTGGCAATAGGGCCAAATATTCTTTATATCCCTAATTGAAATTCGTTTTGAGCATGAATAGATAAAATATTACAAATATTAAAGGTTGGATAAAGGGTTGAAAATTCATATTTTAAATGGGAACAGAGTTTTGCATCCTTAGGACCAGTCATTTCAAAGTTTTAGTGGAATCAATGTAGGTAAATGCTAAAAATAAATAGATAACAATATTATGTTCCTACATTTTAAATTTAATTTTATTAGGTACAGTAGACATTGCATAGTCTGAACACACATATTAGTAAAGGATACACGTTGTGCCAAATGCTTCTTTATTCTTTGCATCCAACAACGATTGAATATGCTCGGCTGACGTATTTAGAAAAGTATCAAATTCTGCATTTTCAACTTCTGGATCTCGTTCTGGACAGATAATTTTATAGAGCTCATCAATGCTGTTTAATTCCTCCTCAGAAAGTTTCTATTTGGAAAAGCGAATTAAGTTTTGCATTTTTTAAAACTAACATGCCAGAGTCAAATTTTTTACTGATGTCTCACATAAGAAAAAATGAATATATCATGGATACAGAGAAAGAATATTAGTCAATTCTTTAAGACATTATGTTTAAAAAATAGTTAAAGCTTAATAGATTGCACATATGCATTTTTTAAAACTAACAATGGAATGCTCTAAGCTTTTTTATGATATAAAATAGATAATAATTGAAGAATCCCAAGGAAAGAGCTACATTTGTTAAAATAATGAGTTCCGAAGCATGTAGTTAAATAGGTTCATCATGTAGTATCAAAAATCTAGCAAATTTAGAGGAAAATCAAAGGACCTGAAGATTATATAATTGTTTTGATATAATGTAAAATAAAAGCCTGAAATACTGGGGAGAAAAAAATCATTTTAATGAAAGTTATCTCTATAAAAACATTTATATTACATATTTAATAAAAGATACTTTTTAAAAAATTAATTATATAAAATATACATTTCTCATAATATTAGATAGTAATAAGCCAAATTTTTTTCAAAATTCACATCTCAGAAACAGATCTGCAACAGAGCTTTTGATACATTTAAAATGTTTTGACAATATTTATTCATTAAAAGTAAACAAATTATAACTTTTAAAAATAAGTTATAACTGTTTCAAACCACAGCAGAAAAAAAAGATAAATATATGCATATAAAAGATCTTCTACACACTGCATTAGAAAACTCTAGAACAGCTCTGCTGGTCATGTGGATGATAACAACAACTGTCGACAATTGTCATTAAGAATCCCTTTGAAGAATTTATTAAATATCAATTGTAGACTTACAACTGCTCCTTTGTTCCCTTCTAAGAAATCTTGCCTGACATCCTCACCACCCATGCTGCTAAGTAGATCTTGATACATTAAGAATTCTTTTATTCTTTGGCGTTCCAACTGCTGACGCTCCAAAAGTTCAAGCTTAGCAGCTCTTTTTTGAGCTTTTGTGCACTAAACAATAAAAGAATAAAACGATATTTTAATTTTAAAAAATGAAGTCCAGATTAAAAGTTTAAAGCACAATACTAAATTTTTAAAAATTGCCAAACTTAAACTAGAAAGAATTTTTACAGATTGACTCCAAATTTAAACTGAATGTTTAACACTAGAAAGACAACCTTTTTACCCCTTTCGTTTTGCATTAATTGGATGAAAATACAGTATTTCTGACTTTTCATAATTTGATCCAATATAAGGGTTTATTTAATCATTCATGTGTTAACCTTACAGAAAAATTTATTGATAGACCCTATATAGGGGTGCACGTCATACGACCTGTCAACTATTGACATGGCATCTGAATACAATTTGTTTTTTTAGAAAATAAAAAAATTTCAACAATTTTGAATTGCACATTTGAGTTATCACTTTTTGATGCCCTCAATTTGAACAAATTCTATTGAAAACCTGTTGTTTCTCGATCCCTTTTTTAACGGCTAGGACTATTAAATTCTGCATGGTTTTAAAAAAACCAATATGATATCATTTTTAGACTTGCTTTATTTTCGTCAATTTCATCAAAAATTCAAGTGACACTTCTTTTGCATATATAACTGATTTTCATGCAGTTTTTAAAATCCAGATACATTTTTTATTATATTACGACTCTTGGGATATAAATCTTGCACTTGTTACTTTTTTATGTGCTTCAGTTGAATTATAAATTTTTGACACACTTCATTTTCATTCTAAATCCAAGTTATTTTTCACTCAGTGATACTGCAGTTTTCATGAAGCATTCCCTCATGGTTTTACAAATTTCCATTTTTATTACCAAGTACAAATTTTAAATCATGGATTAAAATAATTACTTATTGACGCAGTTTATTCGGCTAATTTCTTCGTGAGCGTAATTTTTTAATGTGCTATTATTGTGATGCTTTTTCATATTATTTTGACGATTCTATTACTTTAACTATGATGTTATTACGACACGCAAGTTTCTAATAATATCTTAACTATTTCATTTATTGTTTATTTTGTTACACCAAATCGTAAATTTTTGTGTCACCAATCTGTTCAATGTCAGCCTCACACAGTTAAGACTATTGAACCTATTGAGTTACTGTGTTATACTTTGTTTTGTACAATCACATCTAAAATTATCATGCTCCCTTAATTTTTTTTTATATTTCAATTAAATTAATTTTTTTTGCCTCAATTTATAGGTTTTGTTATTTACTTTAAAATTAATAATTTTATTTCATCTAGCAATGACTAAAAATACTCAATATCCAGGTATAATCTTAATCTCTTATTATTCCGGCATAATTCTAATATATTTTATTTATATAATTTAACAGCATTTCGTCGAAATGCACATGGTCTTTCAATTAGTTTTTAGCCATTTCCACACCTATTTTTCATATATAACGATTCATATAAAAAGTTATTTTAAATGCTTTTAAAGTAATGAACATAAACATTTTCTAAACCATTAATCCATTGAACTTAAAAATTAAAAAGATCAGACATGACTGGTCATTCAAGGGGACACTGAACGTTAAAGCAAAATGGTGCAATATTTATTTGATCATTTAAAAATTTCAACAGAATATTGAAAACATTAAAAAATGTTTGTGTACGATGCTTCAGAAAAAACAAATTATTCGAAAAATTTAATCTATAGCTAAAAGTGTCATGGTTCGCCAAATGGGTCCACTTTGAAAAAACCTGCCCGGGTTTTATTGGGTGGGTCCACCTTGAAAAAACCCACTTGGAACAATAAGTGGGTTTTTTCAACAAAAAAAATTTTATTAAAATTTAGTGTAGCACATTTACTTTTATATAATTTACTGAGCAGCATAAATTTGTCAAATAGAGTTGCATGATTTATATGATTAAGTTTTTAATATTTGTAAAGCAAAAGAAACTCGAGTCTTATAATTTTATAGTTTTATAGTAAAACTTTAAGTGGGTGTTTTCAAGAAGTAATATTTTAATGATATTATATCAAATAGAAATTTAAATAATATAGTCCGAAAAGATCAATTTTCAAATATAGTTGCATGCTTTATATATTAATACACAGGTTATTATTAATTAATATGTTTAAAAAAATTGAAAAGAAACAATTTTTTTTTTACTAAGTGATACAATAGCAAATTTAAACAGTTTTATTTTCTGGCTTTAAAAAAATAAGATAAAACTTTTTATAAGAACTTTTAAAAATTATTTATCTAAAAATGAAATAATTTTTCTAGGGTTAATTATTTGAAAAAAAAAAATGGGACAAGTAACTGATACTCTTTATAATTATATACAATTTTAATTTCACTTACTATTAATCTTTTTATAAAAACATGGAAGATCATTAAATATTTATTTCAGTTTCTTATTAAAGTCAAAAATCAGATGAAAATAAACTTGTTCCTTTTATATTACTGCATTTATATTTTATAATGCTAGAGTTAAAAATTGTAAAACGTTATATACTTAACAATAAAGAAGATTCAAATATGTATTAGTGATAACGCGTTATTTAAACTTAATATAATATACATATAACAAAATTAAAATAACTTTTTGGATTTATTTCTATCTTTAAGCTTATACAACACTTTTTAATAAATAAAAATATTTACACGGTAAAACTTAAAAGTTTATGTGCACTAAATGAAAAAACCCAATTTCCCCCAGGTTTTTTCAAATTAAACCCAATTTCCCAAGGGTTTTTCCAATAAAACCCAGGCAGGTTTGGTTTTTTATAAAATACCCAGGTTTTTTCAAAGCCTGAAAAGTGCTGATAATTAAAAAGTTCCTTGCAAACAATTTTTAATTTTTTTTTTTTTTTAAATTGGCACGCAAGGAACTTTTTGAAGTTGTGAGAACATTAAAAAATCCTATTTACAGAAAAAGCAATTTTGTCAAAGAGAACTCCATATTAATGTATGAAACTTTTTTTGTAATATCTTTAAATCGAAATAATGGATTTTTTTTTAAAAAAATTTATCTTTCTGAACATCAAATGTCCCCTTTAAACTGCAAAATTAAAAAATAAATAAAATATATTAATTACATCTTGAATCACAGTCTGGAACTGTTTCTGGAGATCCTTAGCAAATTCTAATAATTCCACAACTTGGTCATACTTCTCAACAGCTTTCTGAAGAAAAAATTAATTAATTTTACACATTATTGGACGTGTTATAAGTTTGTAAGCAATATAATAATCAAAACATACTTACTTTTTGATCTTCATTTAACTCTTTGCCTTTCTGAGAATCACTTTTATAGGAATCTAATTTGCCCTAAAGTAAGTAAATATAACAATTGAAATTAAATAAAATACACACACTTGAAACTTAACTCAGATTTTTATGAGGACGTTATACTGCTAGAGACAGGGTTTTGGACAGGACACAAGGGTTTTAGTCTTTCCTAAACTGACTAAAACTGTCTTAAAGTGTCCTTGAACTTTGGTAAAAGGTAAAAATTCTATATGTGTAACCAATGCACACATAATAATTACATATATTAATAAATATTTTATATTTTTTATACAATTTACTTAAACTTATTAAAGAGAAATAATATGATATAATATAATAGGAAAAGGTTTATAATTTTGGAAGCTCCACAATTCATTGAACAACAAAAGCGAATACCTTATCCTTTAAATATACTTTTAATACTGAGAAATTATATTTTTGCGTAAGGATAAATAATGCAATATTAAAAATAATAATAAATGTTTTTAAAAAAAAAAAATAAATTTGTTTAAAAATTAAACTTATTTTTCACAATATTTTTTTTAAAAAAATGTTATAATTTCTGCATCACAGGATGATAAAAAAGACATCTATAAAATTGTTTTCAAATATAAATATATTAATTTAACTGATTTAAACTTTTACCAATATCTCTACACCAAATCATCCTTAGTCATACTCTTTTAAGTTTACTTATGGAAGTCATTTCTTACCTAATATTTCTTGTAATAATTTTTGGAGAAATTTTTTATATTAAAGATATTTGCATTGCGCAATAAGTCTCAGTCCTTTAGAAAAATTTAGATATAACATTGGTGTTAAACATTCTGATTGTTATACAATTCTCAAGATTTTTACAATTCCAAAACTTATTGAAAGTTGACAATGGCACTCCTGCTATAGTCATTTTAAGATATTTCTATCTGTCCCGCCTTTGTTATCAAAAATATTAAAAACTCAACTTTTTAATATTAACCTTCCCTAAAAATCTCTAATCTAATCTCTTCATCATTTTAGTTTTCTTTTTTATTTATATTAGCATGTACATTTTTATTAAAATATTATAATTCTACTAAACTATAGTCACATATCAGTGTTTTCATTACAGGAAAAAAATGGGAGAGAATTTCTCACCCTTTCTCAAAAACAGGGTGAGATTTCAAAAAGTGAGATTTCAAAAAATTAAAAAAATACGAATAGACTTGGAAATTTTTTTTTCTTTAATTATAATACATTTTTAACATCAAAATCATTTTTAACATTAATACAAAATGCTCTATATCTACTTTTTCATCAGCTATTATAGTTATTGGGCTGAAAAATATCCGTATTTGTTTCGTTTTGACCGTTTCTACAGACATTTGTTTCATTATCATTTGTCCATTGAAGATGTCGCCTTAACAAGGCATTTGTCCATCTTACATTCATGCACAAAAAATGTAAACGGCATACATGAAGAAACCTTACCTAAGGTGAACACGTGGTTGCAGAGAAATGGGTTTGGGGGGGGGTGTTCTGCTTTTCTCACCGGTTCTGAACAATACTGGTACATAGGGAAGTTAGATAACAAGGACCGATGCTTAAAATAATGAAAGATCAAGGAAGAAAAGTGAAACGATTTTATTCAAAATGGCAAAAGACGAAATTTTTTCCAAAAATAGCGCATTATGAAATTGATTAATAGAGTGTGCGAACTTCTCACGTTAATAATTTTTTATTGCGAGAAAAGAAAAAAATATGCGAGATTCTCACGTTCTCGCACTGTAGTGAAAACACTGCATATGTCCACTTCTTGCATTTATTGTGATTCAATGGAAACACTTTTAAAGCTTTCAAGATATATTAAGAATAAATTTATAAACAACACAAGAGCCTATACATAATGACATTAGTAGCCATTCATTTTAAGAATAAAAAAATATGATTTAATACTATGGAAAATGCTAAAACTGAAATGGACAAAAAATAGCATGAGAATGTTTTAATATACAAGGAAGAAAATTCCTTTACCTAGGCCATTAAAATTTTTGGGGCCCTTAGATTCAATTTTTTTTCTTCAAATATAATAATATTTATACATCTTTTCATTTAAGAGAGCATATTTAAAATTAAAATAAATAATAATAAATAAAATTTTACTTCTTTTTGTTAAATTAAAACTAAAAAATAATCACTATGTTTGGAAAAAATTTGAAATTTATTAACATTTTAAAAAATCAACGCTACTATAAAATTGGTATATTCAAAAATCTTCTTTTCTGCTCTTGAGATCAATAAACTCATCTATAATGTTTTTAAAAACAATTTCACAGAGAACATCTGATTCAATAAACATAAAACTTAGCATGTCTAATCGTTTTTGAAACATGACGCTTCTTTACATTTTTTTAAATTTATTTTCAGAAAATCCATTTTAAGGGGGTCCATGGTCTAATCTGGCCTAATGGATAATCCTGCACTGACCTAAACATCTTATACTTAAACACTAAAATACCACATTAATGGGTAAAAAAGAAAAAAACAAGAAAATCTTAATACATAGTTTTATGATTTAGAGTCCTATTTAACTTAGGTTCTTTAAAGAAACACTAATCCAAAAATTTAATATTTCTTAAACAAACTTTAATGTTATAAAAATGTACAATAAAATAAATGATGAAAACCTATTATATATCAAATTTTGAGTAAATGTATATATCCAATTTTTAAATTCTATAGGTAATGTAAAAATTCTAATTTTTAATTTGTACACTTTACTAAATTATNTTAGAGTCCTATTTAACTTAGGTTCTTTAAAGAAACAGTAATCCAAAAATGTAATATTTCTTAAACAAATTTTAATGTTATAAAAATGTGCAATAAAATAAATGATGAAAACCTATTATATATCAAATTTTGAGTAAATGTATATATCCAATTTTTAAATTCTATAGGTAATGTAAAAATTCTAATTTTTAATTTGTACACTTTACTAAATTATTTTACTGAAGGACAAAACCTTTAATTAAAGTCTTAATTAAAAAGGATTCCTTAAAAAACAATAACTCTGAATAAGTTCATGATAAGATGAGAAAAGTGACATAGAATGAATCATCTATAACATGAGATCATAAGGATCTATATAAGGAGAAAAACGCAATTAACAATTGAGTAACAATAATTACAAAAAAAAAAAATTTCAATATCTATTCAACTCAAAATTGTTTTAGTTTTCTATTTCTGAGAGATATTTCAATATCGTGATCAGTCGCACTAACTACAATCACCAAGGCACTAAATTGCATTTTGAAAATAGGCACTAAGTGGATCTTTCTTTTTAGAACAAAAAAAAAGACAAACATATGGAGGTTTGCTAGTAGTTCTATTTATTCTTCCAGTTAGTCCCTTTCTGCTGTGTACTTTTTAATTACTTCCCAGAAGGCTTGGTGATTCTGATGCTATTACTATTATTCCTTATTTCTAATAACAAAACAGAAGTTTTTCTCCAGAAAACTCTGTTTATTTTGCCTAAATAATTCAACTGCGCGCTATTTTTATTTATCTTTAGCATTAGAGAATTGCACATCCTGGCAACACTTCCTAAGTTCTTTTCATGTCCCCTTAATTACTTATTATTGTTAAACTAAGAACTTTCCTACAGAACGCAGTGAATAGACCGGCACAATGAAGCCTAAACAGCAATATAGTCAGTCATCTTTAAAAAGTTCAGGTCACACAATAGACCGGCACAAGCAAAATTCATTCAACGAAAAAAATTCCTGAAAGGTTCATTATTAAAGTTATTATTTTATGGTCATAAAGAATTTAGGTAACATAAATCAAGACGTGACTAAATTTAATCAAGCATATTTACATGCTAATTTAGCTTACGCAATATTTAACAAAATGTGAAAGGATGACATAAATATGAGTTGAACAGAATCATAAGACCTTACTCAGGTATAATAAGACACTATTAGTTATATTTTATTCAACTGTGAACTTTATTACAAACTATATAAGATAGACGCTCAATTGCAAACCTTTCTTTTTTCAAGATTCCGCACTTTCTTTTCTACCACAGTAATAACTTGCTTAACAGGATCGTTAGTGTCAAGCGAAGTTTGCTTCTCAAGTTTTGCTGATGCGGAAGGCATGATATAATTAATATTATAAAACCATTTAAACTTTTAAAATTCCCTTATTTTTCTTACGAAAACGTCTTTCATTTACAATAAAGCAATTTCACCAAGCAATTCACCAAAACTGGAAATCACACAAGTGTTGCCAATTTTAGCATCTAAAAGTTTAACATTATTATTCAATTGTTGTTGTTGTTCATTTACGTCGCACTAGAGCTGCACTATTGGCGACGGTCTGGGAAACATTCCTGAGGATGATCCGAAGACATTCCATCACAACTTTTAACCTCTGCGGAGGGGATGACTCCCCCGCTTCGGTAGCCCGACGACCTGCGCGTGAAGTCGAGCACTTTACAGTAGAACAGTTTAACGAGGACCAATACCGCACACCCTCGGTCCCTACGCAGGCTGATCCAAGTAGTCACAAACCAGCACATTGACTGCAGCCAGTAATGCTTGACTTCGGTGATCTGCTAGGAACCGTGTCTTAATGATCAGTCCACTGCGGGACAAGCCTAAATTGAGCACGCAACCCTGCAAATGTATGTAAATCCAATAAGGGTGTGTTCGGATTCGAACTCTTACTAAGGAAGCATTTACATTGCATGTAAGAAAATCGCAAATGCAAAATCGAAGATGAGTAAGAAAGCTTAATTGGTGAAATGTAGCTATCCATGCAAGAAAAACTCACATATTATTTTGTCGCTCGCATCCCTGATTTCGCATACATGATTTTTTTTTGCATTCAGTGAAATTGCTTCTAAAGTTTCACACGTGTCTATAAGTTTGTCGGATGCAGTTCCATGTTGAGAAGAATAATCCCAAGAAACTGAAGCGGAAAGATGTACTTCATGATTTAAAAACCTCGTATGCTTGAAAATTATGAATATTGTAATAAAAGTTGACATGTTTTCGAGTGCTCAAAAAGACTTGCTTGTTTCAAACAACTTTTTTCCTCAATCACAGCTGGTGAGCTTGCTTGTATGAATTAAAGGCAGTGAAAATGAGTATCTCAGATACATTTTTCTTCGCAAATTAAGCTCACGTATTTTCTCCGAAACTGTAACGTACATAAACAAAACAATTATTTCTTGTTAAATTGTTTGCTGAATTATTTTCTGTATGAGTCTAAAACTGTATTAAAAAATAAGTGTTTTTATTCATTTGAGTCAATGTTTTTAATTGAGAAACTGTCATTCTATAATATTTATGTTTCACTATTATTGAAATAAATATGGCTGAACAGAATCATACTTTTAAGCATTGTACTTCTCGTAGTCAAGGTAAATCAAAAAAAATTCTGTTATTGATTTTTAAACATTGAAAATATAGTAAGGTTTTATTAATAATAAAACAGGTTTTTAGACGTTGTTTAATCAAATCTTTCTTCCCCTTAAATGATTATTAGCCTATTTGTTTTATCTAGAATATGCTGAGTTATACACATTTTTAGTAGAGGAACGTTTTGTATCTATTCTTTAATCTAGTATTAAAAATATATGATCAGCAAAGAAGTATGGTTTTGCAAATTTTTTCTTTAAAATTGTATGCTTTACTCCTGTTGTAAATTAATGTTAATAAATATTTTTGCAAACTTTGAATACATTTGCTCAAACGGAATTTTTAAAAAAAATAAAAATACGAGGCTCCGTATCGCATCTTTCGCTCCAACTACAATCGTCACGGTGCCATATTGATTTTAAACTTACAATTTCTCTAAAAATAAATTCTTGTTGAGTTTTTCCCTGGATGGAAGATTTTCCCTGGTTTTATCAGAATTATGGCCAAGTCTTGGCCACTTCCCAGTAGCTCCGGGTCCGCGAGAAACTAAAAAGAGACATTACTGCAAGGGACCAACTTGAAAAGTATAACTCATAGCCACCCCCAGGCAAACATCTACATATTTTTTTTTTGTAAAAAATGTTGGCAAGTTTAGAATCTAATTGGCACCTTGAGGATTGTAGTTGGTGCAACAGGAAATATCCCTGAGTTAGTCCCCTCATGTAATGTTTTTTTTCTTTTTCCGTCTGGCAGACTGCTGCTCAGAAATTGCCAAAACTTTGATTTTTCTGCCACAAATAAAAATACGGAAATCTTCCCAAAACATGTTATGTAATTTATTGGTGTGACTATTGTATACTTAAAATTTGATCCAGTAGACTTTTATGCAGTGTTGTATCAAAGTATTTTTTGGGACCCAGACACCATTAAAAAGCTAGATCCTTAAAAAAATGCTTTCAAACTAAGCATTGGTTGAGATGTTTATATCAATTGAAGTATATTGGAAATGTAGGATATTTCTAGATTGGGCATAAGTAATCTCTAAATTTTGTTGCCTCCCTGGATAGTAGCATGTATCGAACTAAAAAAAAGCAACTCATAAGGTTAATCTCATGGTCACCCCTTCGAAAAAACTATAAATTTTTGGTAGTTTAAGTGCTACCTTTGCAAACATGCTTTGACATAGAAATATCCTCGTTGTCTGTACCTACGTCAAGCACTAAGATGCCCAACGGTTTATATTTTCAAAATTTAAACAAAACAGAACATTTATATTGTGGTTTTATCCCATTCTGTAAATTTTTTTTAGTTTGTGCTTTTTCTGAAATTTGGCAACATTTTTGATGCAAAAAATTTTTTTTTCCCTAAAATTTAATTAAAGTGTAATATGTCAATGTTAGTATTGAAGTCCCGATATTCTGGAGCAGATCTTTTTAACATCATTCACAAACTCTTCACGTGTTCTCGAGTCTAGTTTTCTAGATCTACTTTTTTATCTTAAGCTTCATTTGAGGTGGCCCCAATGGGGCCTGTGCTGTGTGATGAGACTGTCCTTATTATATTTAATGCTATTCAACAATATATAGTGTTTTTCTTTTAAATGCTTTGATGAACAATATCTTATGTATCGCTGTGATGGCTCAGAGGATATCGCGTTCGCCTACCATTGAGGTGAACCGTGTTCGAATCCCAGCGATTGGCAGTCTATTCCAATTTCGCATGCTGCTTGCACCGACCACAGTGCTGGCGTAAAATATATTCTCAGTGGTAGCCGACGGATCATGGGTTAGAGTTCCCTTGCTGGGAGGTTTTCGTGGTTTTCCACTCCATGTAACACAAGTTAGTGTTAGTTCCAACAAAATGTCCTCAACGAGGGAAAATTTCTCCCAATACTTGATTCAGGAGTTTCCTTGTCTAATAGATTGGGTTCAAAATTACAAGGCTTTGGAGTTGAACATTAGTAGCCGTAAACCCTGTAAATTGGGTCGGCTTTTCAATGACTGTTATATATTAAGAAAAAGAACATTAAAAAAAAACCATCTTATATAATTTCAATACTTTCAATTTTAAATTCTGGGTGTTTTTGAGGGAATTTTTTAAGAATTAAATTCTTGATGATGATTTTGACAAAAACTAATATTATTTGTATCAGGGTTGGAAAAAAATAGTTTTTTATCTTTTAAAAAACCGTAAACCCAATTTTTGTGGTTTAAACTAGGCTTTTTGATTTAAGACAAAAGGTTGAATAAAACTTTATGCTGTAAACTAAAAGTATTTAAGCTATTATAAGGTATAATCATAAACATTAATATTCTCAAAATTCAAAGACAATTTAAAAAAATATCCAATTTCCTTCCATAAAAATGCTAATATAATGATGCTGTCTTACCTTTCAGCAGCTATTTTTACCCACTATTATTACTTCAATTCTAAATGCTTTTTTTTATTTTTTATGAATAACTAGGTTCTCAACAATATTCAGAATTGTGTTCTAAATAATGTTCTGAACTAATATCCTGTCTTTAATTATGGGATTAAAAAAAAAAATCATTCACCTCTTATGATTTTGAAATATTCACTTGTTCTCTTCTGCTAATTCTCTGTTAAGTGAGAAAATTTTTTGTTTGAAATTGCAGCTAGATCATACAAGTTGGTTAAATATTTCAGTTTAGAAGCTTATTGATGCTCTAAGATTTATTTGTTTCCACTAACAAAAGAATTTAAAAAAGAAAAGCATTTTTTTAAAATATTCTAAAATTATGATCTGCTTTTTTTTGTTCGATCATGTGCTGCTTTTTTATTAATACTTAAGTTACCCTGATTTTTTATGACTCTTACAGCTCTTTATTTGTAATTAAGGTGTTGAAGTTGATGAAGATCTAGTTGATATCACCCATTGGATATTATTCTACTAGTTTGCCTCTCATAAGTAAATGTACAATTTCATGACAAATGTGATAGACCTGAGGGGATTTAATCTTAGACTATGTCAACCTCCATCTATCAAAAGGTACCTCGTGATAGAATCAAGTTAACATCTGTTATATACTACTGATTCGGTATTTAATATTTATAGTGGTAGTTACGCCACATTACTCCCCTTCCAGAATTTTATCTGTGATAGAATTCGATGAACAGAGAACACTAGTTGATTAACGCTGTTTTATTTATTAACTTAAATTTTTTGCTCATTATATTTATTTTTTTTCTTCCAAGCATTTCGCTCTTTATTTATTTATTTTTTTTATAGCTTTTTCGCTATTTTTTCCCATCATTTTTTTATAGCTTTTCACTATTATTTTTTTTCTTGCATTTCGCTCATTATTATTTATTAACCGGGAGACTTTATTTACACTTCACCGGATTTCTTTTTTTTTTTTCTTTGAGCAGTATATATATATATTTTTTAAGCAAATCAACTGTTTAAAGTGGATTCATCCATCAATATTGACAATTTCTTATCATGTCCGGGTCACCAATGAGGGGATTTAATCTTAGACTATGTCAACTTCCATCTATCAAAAGGTACCTCATGATATTATCAAGTTAACATCTCTTATATACTACTGATTCGGTATTTAATATTTATAGTGGTAGTTACGCCACAGACCTGACCCATTTTAAAATTTGAGTCAATTTTAATAGTTTTTATAAGCTATTTTTGTTATTGTTAAAAATTAGTTTTTTGTTGCTAAAAAGTTCAGTTTTTTTCCTTCCTTTGTGCAATTTTGGCATCAAATAAATAAAGTTATCACATAAGGAAAACTAGTTTTTAAACACATATTGGATGCATTTTAACAGACTTTTATACAACCGGACCTGAAATTTTCTTTTTAACGTTAGCATAAGCTTAACTCTTGGAAAATATAATTATTTTAATATAGTACTCTTTATTATTTTTCATGAAATTTTTCTTCAGTTTTAGCGCAGAAAAAAAGAGAACTTTCTTTTGCTAAAATTTTAAAAAGAGTCATCTCGACTGCTTTTCGTGGAATTGACCGTAATAATGTTGTAAAAAGCATTTTGAACAAAATGTTATTGTATTGTTTCAGAGAAAAGGGAACGTTTGAAATTGAGCTTTGGTAATTGTGGAAGTCGTAAGAACCCTTCTTTGTCTCATTTTCCAGATTGTCATCTACCTCCTGTGTAAGTAACTTCACTGTGCTTTTTAAACTTTATTTAAATCTCCCTTTTAGTGATTTTAGAATTGAACTCTTTATTCAAATGTAGAATTCAAAATTTTGTGTCATTTAATTCTTGGAAGATTATTTAAAAGCAATGAAACATTTTTTTTGGAACAATTATTTTCATAATTTAAAATAAATCAATGATTGGAAATCATTTATGCGGTAATTTCTTTTGATGTTTACTGTACTATAATAAATGTAGATTATCTGAAAGAAAGAAAGAAAAAGTGGCCTTATTCTAGGTGGTTGTAGGCATACTCCATGGAAAAATATTGATTATTTTTCATTTGAATAGCATTTCTCTGCATTTATAACATATCTTTACAAAAGGTTCAATAATTCATCCATCACATTTTTCTTGTTTGAAAATGGTATTCGTTTTTTATTTTTTATAAAGTGCTGCGAATTTTGTTACTCATACGCATGGTTTTTATTCCACTTTTCTTCATTTTAGCTTTGTTTAGCAATTCTTCGGACTCGAGTTATTTAGCCAAAATAGCTGCGTGTAACGGAGAGCATAAATTAAAAATTTTGAAGGAAATGGATAGAAGAAAAATATTTTTGTCAAAATAAAAATATTGATGAGTTTTGTGTAAATATTTGCCATAGTTTTATGTACTGACTGTTGTGAGCTCATGATGTATGAATGATATAGCATTTTTGTCTAGACCAGTGGGGTCATATAGAGCATTGACTGAAATATTATTTTTATATAGTATTTGAATATTAATTGATTAAGACTTAGTTGTAATCAAATGATATTGACTTGTGTCATTCAACTGAATTTAAAAATGATGATCCAACTACACAGTAATCATATCTCAAAATTTTTAAATGTTGAATTATTTTTGAACAAAAATGCTTAGCAGCATATTCATGTTTTTTTCTATTCTACATATTTAAAATGACTTAATTTAGGAAATCTTGAACTACTGTTCAAATTTTAATTAAATATGGATAGGGTAACTGATTTATATTGATTATTTTTTAATGTAACAGTACTGTTAAAGTTTTCTCTGTGATGAAATTTGGCTTTAATCAGGGTTGGCAAGTTTTAGACAATTGAAAGTTTTATCCGGTTTTAACTGTCATGTCAAAAAGACCTTTTTAACATAGTTTTTGACAGTTGTCAAAAGGCAAAATTTTGGTGTAAGAATAATTATTAGCTACTGTAAATAAGAAGTATTTATAAATAAACATATATATAAAATTACAAGTGATGAATCTGTTATGTTCTTGAATTATTTTGACATAAAACTCACTTTTTGTTTTTACAATTACTGTCAGAAACTATTTATTATAGAAAGTAATAAATAAAAATGCAAAAGCAATCAGCTTATAGAAAATAAAAATTCTTAGCATTTATCTCATTCTAATCGATTTTCATTTACTTCCATTTAACTCCTTTCCTTGAAGTATGTGATTACAAAAAAAACAGCTTTAAGCCCTTGTATTCAAAGTTCATTTTTTTTTCTTTCTGCTTTGTATGAATGGGACTAACTATTTTTCAATTGTTGTTGAGCTACATGAACTAGAACAAAGATGTACTAAAACTATTATTACATAATAAAATAACATTTAATTAAGAAATTTATTCTAATAACTATACTAAATATTCATAGTAATTTAATTAATCCTTAAAATCAACGGAGTTAAAAAATTATTAATTATTGGTAAAAAATTATAAATTTATTGGTAATATTTATGTGCATATAAGCAAGTAGGAGTACAAAAAATTCTCAGTACCTTATATTTCCTAAGAACAATGTTTTTTTTTTTTTTTTTAAATCAAAATTTCCCCAAAAACGTTAGTGTTTTTTTTTTCTGCATTAATTTTTACAAGTACAATGAATGACTTTCTAAAAAAAAAGTTTACATGAGAAAAAAATAATTTTGATTTTACACAATTCTTGAGTAACCATGTATGCATGTTATAAAATAATAGAAATCAAAATATATTATTACTAATAATAATGTTTAAATTATTAATATATATATATTTGTATTTCCATAAGTTTTTGTATTTTTTTAACAAAGAAAAATTTTGCTAAGCGTCACATATTAACTAACATTTTTGTAGGAATTTTTTTAGTCTAAAAATTTTTTACATCGCTGCCTGAATTTCCTCAATAACCTTCGCGATCAGACATATTTTGCTCCCCCCTGCAAATAATAACAAATATTGAGAATCAATATATATATATATCAGGCAGTTATTAGCAACCACTTTAATTTTACTTAATCTAAAAATCTGTCTAAATTATGCCATAAAAGAAAAATCAATATTTAGATTGATAATAATTTTAACAACTCATCGTTATTAAATCTAATATAAACTGATAGTTTTTATAAAGCAAAAAATATCGATCTTAAAGAGTACCCTGTTTTTTGGATAATTTTTATGTGTGGTATAATATAATTCATAATTATAATAGTATATATTGCAACTATTGTGCATGATTTAGTATCTCATAAAATATCCCCAATGACAAAAAAGAAACTTGCCCCAGGTTTTTGTTAGATTTCGATAGTTTATTACAGTTTTTGACAGGTTTTTTGATGTGTCATGTCAAAAACCCAATCTTAGTTTTAATATGCTTAAGTAACGCAAATTGCACTTTTCTTAGTTTGTTGTTTGCTCTTAAAGAGTAGTCTGGTGTATGTGTATATGTTCATATTTTTTTTAAAAAAAATGCTGTTCTGATTTTTTCTGTGGCGCACTACACCTACTGAAGATTACTTACTGATTGTAAATTGGCAAAAATCATGATTAAAAACTCTGATTTTTTTTCCCCTATTTGAATTGGTTCTTTTTAAAATTTATATCAGGTTTTTATTTTTTTAGATATACCAACCCAAGTTAAGATAAAGTATAGTAGTAAAGCTTAATATTATTTGAAAACAGTATTACAACTGAAATAATATTCCTAACTAAAGTGATTAAAATAAGCATATAATTATTGTAAACTAATCACTAATGATATAAAATTGTAGTTTTCATGACTTTGTAAAGACTAGATCCAATTATCAATTGAAAATAAAATGAAGTGATAATTCGGGAAACATAAAAGGAAGAAAAAACTACTATTCAAAATTTTTACATAAATTTAGATATATAAAGTTATATACACAAACTACATGTTTAATAATTTTTAAAAATATTGGTACTTAAATAAACATTAAACTAAAGTGATACAATTGAGATGGACCCTGTGGCATATCTGCGACTAAACTCTCTAGCACTAATACCTTTCTACAAGATACTTTTAATAATAGCTTACTAATTTAAGATAACAGAAGCGCTGCATATTCAAATACACGATTCAAATTTTCTATGTTTCAAATAAATCGGGATCTTTAAAATCCAGGTGAAAATCAATAACTGCTGAAAATATAATCGAAACATTACATCAATTTACGGTGTAAATTGAGAGTGTCAAAAAGTGCTTATCTAAATGTATGATTCAAATATTACATGTAAATTTCTGTAGAAGAGGAAAAAAAAATTTTTTTTTTAACTTTTCGAAAGAAAAATCTTTCTGCAAGAACGTTGTAACGTTCTGCGGCAGCGTCGCCGCGATTCTGTTACTGGGGAGATTGGTTTATTACATAGCAAATTACTTTACACAAATCTAATGGAAAGTTATAATTTAAATGTCTCTCATCACTTTAATTCTCATTTAATTAAATTCTGAATTAAAAATATTTTTGGCTTAAATCGGTGACTTTTTTTTAAAGAAAAATCAAGTTAAAGTTAATCATGCTAAATCTTGCTGTATGGAACAAAACCAGGGTTGGCAAGGTTTAGGACACAATAGATTAATCCACGGTTTAAACCGTCCTGTCCAGAACCCCTTTGTCCAAAACTGTCTTAAACTGTCCAAAACCCTTTTACTCAAATTATGTCACAATTTTATCTGAACAATATTTAGAAGGTAAAATAAAAATAGAACTAATAACATATTGATAATTAAATATACTAGAGAATATTTGTTTTTAAAAGTATAATGTTTTATTAATATTGTTTGACTCTTCAATTTAAACATTAAACAAAGGAAGATTAATCAGTAATCAAGTTCAATTGGTCCTCTCATTCAATAGTACATAACTGAAGTTTGAAGTTAAGCTATTAGGGACTAAGTGCTTGGTTAGTCATAAACAGGTTTGTTTATCTATAGTACTATTCAAGAATACTTTTATTTCATTCATGTTCAATTCTTTTAGCATAGTGGTGATGTGTCAGTAACTGAAACTGATGTCATGCCCTTCAAAACTGTTAATACATTTTACAGTTATTTTGTATTTCCAATTTAAACTAATATTAATTAATACATATTTAGAAATAATTTTTTTAAAAAATAGGTATCTTTTTTATCATCCTGTGATGCAGAAATTATAACATTTTTTAAAAAAAATATTGTGAAAAATAAAAGATTAATTTTTAAACAAATTTAGTATTTTTTTAAAAAAATTATTATTTTTTAATATTACATTATTATCCTTATGCAAAAACATTATTTATCAGTATTAAAAGCAAATTTATATTTAAAGGATTAGGTATTCACTTTTGTTGTTCAATGAATTATGGAGCTTCAAAAATTATAAACCTTTTCCTATTATATTATATTATATTATTTTCTTTTGATAAGTTAAAGTAAATTGTATAAAAAATTTCAAATATTTATTGATGCATGTAATTATTATGTGTACAATTGTTACACCTATAGAATTTTTACCTTTTACCAAAGTTCAAGGTTTGTAACAGTTTTACCCAGTTAAGGACAGTTTTATCCAGTTTAAGACAGTAAAACCCACTTGTCCTGTCCAAAACCAGTTTAGGACGTCCAAAACCCCAACCCTGAACAAAACAAATAAATGAATATTTCATTTGTTTTTTCCTAAAATTTATATATTTCTTTTTTAGTATTTATTTACTCATATTTTGGACTTTTAATCTGATTGGATGTGTTTTTAATTTTGCAGAGAAAGAGGATGGGTTACTCACGGAATGCAGAGTTCAGGAAAACTGAAAATTTCTCCTGAAGTTGTAAGCTTTCATTTGATTACATCTTTATATAATTTTGTGTGTGCACTAATAACCTTTCCCAAGGGTGCATGAATCCGTTATAATTTGGTTGAATTTGGATAATTTCGTTGTCTGTTACTCTGTGCCTATAGCATGCGCATTAATGTTGAAGCAATATTCATGCTTTGTGTAATGTAATAAAAAGCCTTATTTTCGAATTATCCAAGTGAGTATTTTTGATGAAGACTGCATTGTTTTGTACATTTTGGATTGCGTTAAAAAAAATTACGAAAGCATCCTCAATTTGGTGCCATGTATCATGGTGCAAATTATTCTTTATTAGGAGATACCATGGAACAAAAACAAAGTATGTTTATTAAGGTTTCAGTAAATTAGCACATTCTTGAGATACAAATATTATGGCTCAACAAGTGTTAAGGAAATCCAGTAAAATGCCAGTATGGAAACAGTTTGATGTTAAAGTGTGGCTTATCAGGGGTTGTTCTGATCTTGGTTGCGTACAGAACATCCCATTTTCTATGAATAAAACCGCTGATTTTATTATTCATCTAGGGTTTTGTAGTTTCACAATTATTCCTTTGCCTCATTCAGCTGAATTCAACAATGATTGATTCCAATCAACAATACAGTAATCGTATCATAGATTATTTTTAAATAGTGAATCTATGGATTCCTCCAATAAATTAATTTTGTAGAATATTCCTCAAGTTTTTGTTTCGTTGTATAAAATCTTTTTAAAAAAAATTTGATCTATTAGATATTGTACTTGATTACAAATTTTAATTAAATATTGATATGAGGTAATATAAATGGAATGTAGTTTTTTTTTTAAATTTTTTTTTTAGCAACAGCTCTATAAAAGAACTCCATTTGTTGATTTCAAACTATTATAAGTTCTTTAATACTCCATTTTTAAAGTTATACTGGAAATTCTTAATACTTTCTGCTCTAAACTAAACAGGGATGGCAAGTTTTTAACAATTGTCAGTTTAATCCGGTTTTAACCTAGATGAATATGTCAAGAACCTTTTTATTTGACATAGTTTGGCAATTGAGAAATTCTCATTTAAGCATCTACAACAAATATTGAGAATCAGCCAGATGAGATCAGACAATTATTGGGGACCACCTTAGCTTTCCTAAAGTGTCACATAAAAGAATTAATATCAATATTTAGATTTATGACAATTAACAACGCGTTATCTGTAGTATAAACTGAATATGTATAATGTATCAGATAATAATGATCTTAAATTATAAATACTATAATTTGTTTAAAAAAAAAGAAACAGTTAATAGTTCATTATAGTTTTGGCTAATTTTTTTTTTATGGATGGGATAACATGGCGTGTATCGTTTTTAAAAAGTGCTTAAAGGTGCCTATTTTTGATTTTTATTTTTTTAAAAGACTTCAAAAGGTGCTTTTTTCATTGGGTGGTTTTAAAAAGCGCTTAATTTTCCCTTTTCGAAAATGATGTTTTTTCTTTACCATGTTAATTTTTCCCACGTAGTATGCAAAAGTATGCTTTTTAGATTGTCCTATCCAACATTTTCACAATTCATTCAACAACAATTCATTTTGGCTTACCGTCGGTCCATGAGATATAAAAGCACCAATAATTTTACATGTTTGGTGAAATACTTGCTAGCCTGTCTGTGCATATATACTGAGATGGGTTCTTTGGGATTATTGCACTCTCATGCGCAACTCTGCTGCATTTTGCAAGATACTCTCAATTTTAGGCTTCACTTTCCAACCTCTGATATCGAACAGAAAAATTTTTCGAGCATTTAATAATGGCTAATGTAATTAAGAAAAAGAGATCTTTGTTAGAAACTAGTTATTTTATCATGAAGATGTAAAAGTCTTTGAAAATTATTTTGCATTTTGTTAATGTATATAGTGCTTAAAAATATTTTTTGAGAGCCTAAAAAGTGCTTATTTTTTTATGAAAGATTTGTCTTCGCACCTTGTTATTGTTTTGTTAATCGAATAAACGCTTCTCGGGGGAGGGAAGGACAGAGGAAAGTTTTCTGAGTTACCCTAAGTTTAAATTACAAACATGGTGTGCACATCCTTATTGATATTAAATGATAATTTTTTTTTTTGTAAATAAATAATTGATTTAGTTTCTGACTAATTTTTAAAAAAAATATTATAAATTTAATAATTGTTTAAATTTACTTAAGGTGTAACACATTAAAAGTGATACACAACTAAGTTGTGTTATTTAAAATTTGTCAATTGAAATTTTTAAAAATGTGAGTGATTTTGTTTCCATTATTGGTTGGAAATGAATATTCTGTGTAGGCTAAATACCAAATATTTGTATATTGCATCTCTAACTTAGTTGCAGCAATTGTTGAGCAGAATCTTTTACCTATTTACATTGTAAAAACTTCTTGAAAAGGTTATTAGCAATTTTTGCAATAACATGACCCTATTTGCACAAATTCACAAAAGCAGGACCCTGGTTGAAAGAATGTGACTTATGCTTATTTTATATTCACAAGTTATGAGTAGTTTTTTCACAATTTTACAAGAACAGGACCTTTCACAAAATGTCTTAACGAACCCCTGCTAATATAATCAAGAAAAGAGTTTTTTTTTATATCAGAAACTAGTTATTTTATCATGATCATATAAAGTCTTTGAAAATTATTTTGAATTTTGTTAATGCAATGCTTAAAAATATTTTTGAGTGCTTAAAAGTACTTAAAGGGTGCTTATTTTTTTTGTGAAAGATTTGGCTATGCTCCCTGGATAATAATAATCATAATAAAAGTAATAATTCTTGTGTAAGTATTGTACATGATTTAAATAGTTATGTAGCTTGACTTCTAATGAAATGTTCCCAATGATATAAAAAAGACTGTCCCCAATCTTTTGTAAGATATGGCTGTTTGTTATAATTTTTGACGTGCCATGTCAAAATAAGTATGAAATTAAAATAGTATATTTTATATTGTTTTGCAATAAAATGTGCCTCTTTTTAAGTAGAAAAAAACACTTTTTTGTTTGTTTTCTCTTTATAAAAATTGTCTGATACCTGTATGCTGTACCGTGAAATGTCCTGATTTTTTAAATAAAATGTCTCGATTTATTTTCTTTACTCCACTGCAAGGCCTTTTTATCTATATTAACACAAAGTGTTATTATTTTATTGCCAATAGTGATGCTGCTTACCAACGTTATTTGAAACAATGCATTGTTATTAGTTTTGTTTTAAGTATTATTGTGGTTATTGTAATAAATTGGATCTGTTTAACAATCCCAAACAATTCAAAAACTTGATTAAATTTTTCTTTAAACTATGGTGGGACCTTTGACAGTTGTTCATTTGGGAAATAGGTTTTGTAAACACATACAGAGTATTTCTGCCAACTGAACAGTCTTCTTCTGTAGTGATATATGAATAGCACAATGGGTGGCTTAATAAATGACTCATAAAATTAAGTGCTTCCTAAGGGACTGAACACCTCAAAATTTAGAGATTATTTCGTGAGATAATGTAATTTTCTTTCATTGAAATAATAGTGTACTTTTAACAAAGTTTTATCATAAACAAGTTTATTTTTAATGCTATCCTAATTTTGAAATTATTATTTTGTTACTAGAAGCGACAAAAATATTATGAAGAATTATGTAGTACAGTTTTAAATTATACTATAAAGTAAATCAGATAAGTTTTTTTTATTTTCTGTCTTCTTTAAATGAAATTATGAAAATATCCAATGGTTATTCTGAAAAGTTTGTGATTAATAATGAATCCTCTTTTTTTCTCTTCCTCTCAGACGTATGATTTCACAGCGGATGATCTCAAAGATTTGGGTGAAATCGGAAGAGGGGCATTTGGAACTGTAAATAAAATGATACATAAAATGAGTGGTACTATAATGGCTGTAAAGGTACCCTAATAATTAATATATATATATATTCTTTTATCTATTATTTATTATTAATATATCTATATATTGTACTTTTTTTTATTGAATTCTAGAGGATAAGGTCTACAGTAGATGAAAAAGAGCAGAAACAGCTTCTGATGGATTTGGAAGTTGTTATGAAAAGCAATGATTGTATCTATATAGTTCAATTCTTTGGTGCAATATTTAAAGAAGTAAATTTATTTTCATATTTGAACTTTTTAACTCATTTTAAAAAATTAAACTGTCCTACAATGAAACTTGGGTAATTTAAAATTACTTTTTAAAGAAATGTCTATCTACTTAATAATTTTTAAGTTAGGAAAAATTAAATGTTATGCACACCTGGAAAGTCATAAATTTAGGCATAGAACAAAATTTGTCATGATTTTAACTTTTTTTAAAAAAGAAAAATCATTGATTTAGGTCCCCGAAAAATCTAATTTTTAAAATGTAATTATCTCCTCTCCCAATTTCACAGTGTTCCGAGTATCTGAATTTGTGACAAAATCCTCACTCAGTCTTATTTTATTAAAATATAAAATGTTTTTATTATGTTCTTTAAAAAACTATGGTGTTCTTTCAAAAAATAGAAGAAAAAACATCATTTCTGCAGCGAATTGTCTTTTAAACTTCTGTGATTTCAGAATTTTTTTTCTTCTTTTTTTTTATATTTTATCTATTTCAAATTCTAACCGAAGCAAGCCAGTCATTGGCCAATTTTTTTTGTTCCGAAATGATAATAGAAAAATCAGGAGTATTTCTTTCCTTTCCGAGGAACAAAAAAAGTATCTTAACAATGTAATTTTCAAAAAAAAAATTTTTTGCTTTTGTATTTTTTTTAGCTATTTTATTGCTTCAACTCTTTCTTTACTCTGTTTTTTACATTTAAAATCTATAATTATGAAGATGCAGAGTAAAACAGTTTTGGTTTTACCTATTATTTCTATTAATGTTATTATAATGCTTTCTTAAATGTATTGTTCTGTTTTTGTCGGGAGAAAATAGTAACTTCGCTAAGTCATGAAAAGTTCTTGTGAATGAGTCATGAAAAGTCATTTTGAAAATCTAAAATGTAGCAGATGTTGTTGTTTGTTTGATGAATACTTGAGCTTAAACTGATGATGCAGAAACATTATTTTAATGCAAGTGTAGTAACTGTAGTTTGGACGGCTCATGGACTAGCTAAAGAAACTCCCAAAATAAAACTTTACTACAAACTAGAAAGACACGATATAACCGAGCAATCTGAGGCTGGACGCACTTGCTCGTTGCTGTGCGGAACAAAACTGACCCCTTTAAACCGTTTCCCTGATTATCCCAAACTAACTCTGGTATTTATATTTTGTAACTATTTATTTTCCTGAGAAAAATATGACATAGAATTTGTCAGTACGTTTTGTTTTATTATAATTGAATTGAATTTGTCAGTACGTTTGTCAAATAAAAATAATAATCTACTGTGATTAGAAGTTTGCCAAGTTTTGTTTGGGAGTTTTGCAGTTGGATTGTGGGATTGCTCACGTGTTTTGTGTGATTATATATGCGAGGGTTGCTGAATTTGCATAGAAGAACGAGTAAAAAAAATGTCATTTCATTGGCGTTAGGAAAGTATCATTTTGTGTTGTCCCTTGTTTTAAGAACTATCCTGCAAAGACTCATATTTAACTTTTTTCATTTGCCAAAGACTACTAGGGATAGTAAACTGAAGGTAAATTAAATATTTTTACACATTAAAAAAAATTGAAATTCAAACTTAAAACTCGCATATTTCTTAATAAAATTTTTAAAAAAATGTGTTGATTTTTTTGCATTTTTTTTTCTTCTAACAAATTGGTACGGGTTAAGAAGGAGGTAATTCTCAAAAATTATTTGTGATGGCAGTGGCATCTTTCAGTTTACACAAATGGTAGACAAAATGAACAATTATGACCTTAAGTTTTTAGAAATTTAAAAGAGGAAAACTTGTTTCAAATGCTAATTAAAATAATTATATTTTGCATAATATTGTCTGAAAAATAAAAATATCTTGAGAGAAATTAATATTATTTTATTTGTAATGCTTCCACTTCCTTAGATTGTGAATCTTTGCTGTTACACACAAAATGTCTTTTTTACAAATACTCACAAAGTATATTTAAGAAAAGAAAATCTTTGAAAAATCTCAGATAACTTTCAATGTTCTGTCCAGGGCAAATTTTCTACCGTTCAGCAGTACCTTCACAAATTCAACTTTAGGAAAAACAGTAGTTTCACAAAATGCTTTTAAAAGAGCAAGTTCCATGATTATCTTCCCCGCCCTCTAAAAATTTTGTTTTCGTATCCCCGTAAGAAACAATAATTCCCTGGTTAATTCCACATATATGAATAGGTAGCACGTGCTTGACCGGATAGTGTGATAGGGTAAACTTAAATGGTCGCTTACGCCATATTGTAGCGGAGTTTTTATTTTTATTTTATGTATATATTTTTTTTTAATTATTTTTAAGAATTAAATGATGAGGTGTTCCATCTGTGAACTTTACAGGAAGTTGAAATTTGTTATTGAAAAACATTATTCTAAACACTCGACATGGTGCGTAGCATTTTTTAAAAAGTGTGTAAAGGTGCATTTTTTCATTTTAGTCTTTTAAAAGCTCTTAAAGCTGCTTTTTTCATGGGGTGTTTTTAAAAAGTGCTTCATTTCCCCTTTTCGAAAATGATATTTTTTCCTTTACCGTGTCAATTTCCGCCACGTATTATGCAAAAGCGAGCTTTTTACATTGTTCTATCCAACATTTATGTACTGGCGGTACATAGCGTATGAAAGTGCCAATTGTTTTACAGGTTCAATGAAATACTTGCAAGTCCGCACGTGCTTACAGTGCGCCGGGTTCAGTGACATTATTGCAATCTCGTGTGCAAGTCTGCAGCATTTTGCAAGATATTCTCAATTTCAAGCTTCATTTTCCACCCTCTGTAATCAAACCGAAAAATCCCTTGATCATTTTTTAATGGCTAATATAATCAAGAAAAGAGTGCTTTTGTCAAAAGCTAGTTATTTTATCATGATCATGTTGCATCTTAGAAAATTATTTAGCGTTTTGTTAATGTATATAGTGTTTAAAAATATTTTTGTAGGGCTTAAAAGGTGCTTACATTTTGCTGAAAGATTTAGCTGCGCACCTTGATTCGAACATTCTTCTAAATTTATTCTAACAGACCTTTATTTTTGTGTGAAATAGTTTTTGTTCTTGTCTGTCCTGTAGAACTTTTTTCTATTTGACCTCGTGAGAAATGTTCTCATGAAAAAAACTTTTTTCTATTTGACTTTGTGAGAAATGTTCTCATGAAAAAAAACTTTTAGTGCAAATACTGTTAATGCAAGTTTTTTTTTTCCTTCTTAAATTCATGTTGAAATTTAACAATGAACAATGATTTTTATGGATTTTTAAATTTGGATACAATTTTAAGCCCAAAATTTTACATTAGCAAAATTGTTTTTGAATATATGAGAAAAATATATAAAACTTTACTAGTCTTAAACCATTTTTATTTGCAGTGTTAATTTTTGAAAACATCTTCTTACTTTACCACATTTTTGTGTTGATTTTTTACTATATTTTTCACAAAATTGCTACTTCTCATAAAAACCTAGACCGACCCCTGACTTTATAGATGATGTTTTGTTAAAACTTTCAATTTATTAACTTTAGATTACTATTGTTTTACACCTTTTTCAAAAAAAAAGGGCAGGAAAAACAATACATTTTTAAATAAATATCGTTCATTTTATCTTAGTAGTAATTATTTAGAATTAATTAATTGTTTTAAACAGAGTTTTTCTGTTCGTTTCTTACAAGCTGGAACAAAAAATCAAATTCGCAATCAAATAAAAATATTGTGAATATAAATAGTTATAATTATATAAAATCGAATTAGATTTTATTTATTTATTTTTCGTATTATTTTTGCTGATTTATTACTAAAGTAAAAAGTTCCATTTATGCTTATCTGATTCCCAGAAATGTTTATTTTTTGGAAATTTTTTAACACATAGACACATCATTCTTTTTTTTTTTTTTTAACCTCACGATGTGTTAAAAGAAAAGTATTTCCAAAAAAAAAAAAGAACATTATTTTTTTTTCTTTAATTCTTTCTTGCTGCTTTTCCAATGACTGAACATTCATTCTGCTTCAGTCAGCACATTAAAAAAGTTGTTGAAAAAAGATCAGTCAAGGAGAGGAATTAACTATGAATGGCATAGCTGAATACTAATAGTGTTTGAACTGCTAACAAGCTTTGTTTCCTTTAAATTATTTAATCTTTTCCTTTAAAACATAATTTGGTTGCCTTCTTTTATAATATAAATTTTTTTTTTCTGAAATTGAATAATAATAATAATTTGTACCTATTGTAGGGTGACTGTTGGATCTGCATGGAGTTAATGGATACATCGTTAGACAAATTTTATAAAATTGTGCATGAGAAGCTCAATCAAAGAATACCAGAGAGTTTTTTAGGAAAAGTTACTATGGCGGTGAGTTTTTCTTTTAAAGGGTAGCTTTTTTATTTTAAACAATTTTGTCATTTTACTGTTTTAATATTTATAGTAAGATATTTTATGTGTTACAGATTTCTTAATTCAAAATAATGTTTTTTTTTCTTCTTTTTTCATTTGATTTAAAAAATAATTGAATTCAATGATCTCAGACTTGTTCAATAAGATGTAAGGACCGGGGTTGCCACAGGCAACAAAATGCAACTATTTTCGACCTGAGGCGACTATGGCACCTTTTTTTGCCTGAAAAGTTCTGTGCTCCCTGCGATGTTTTTTTAGAATAAATTGGGTTGACAACCTGCGGCAGCTTCTTCTGAACACAAAATAAAAAATATTAAATTACAAATTTGAGTCATTTATTAATGTGCTTAATTTGATCAGATTCCATTGTAAATCTATTTTGTTTCTCGATCTCCTTTTCAACGGTCATTGCAACGAAAATCTGTATGATTTTAGAAAACCCATTTTTTAATACAATATTACGATCAAGTGAATTTGGAATTTGAACAATCACTTTTCACGATATATATATATGTATATACTAGAGGGCTCCGCCCCCTGCACGCTACCGCTTGCCAATCCCCCATAACTGCTATGCAATTAAATTTCTGTTCGCTTCGCAGATAAAATTAAAATTGTTTTCCTGGAGATTAGCTGGCAATTTCTCTGCTTGTGATATGTCAGAGGTCTTTGTTATCAGCATTATAAACTTATATAAACACTTAGTTTTATGTATGGTATAATTCTTTTATCTAATTATTTAAAATGGATATGATATAAGCGTGCTGAATTAAATTCTAAAAAGTAATTCTTTGTTGCATTTCTATTTCATCTTTTTCATTTAATTATGCATTTTTTCGAAGTGACTGTTAAATATGTTATAAAATATTAATTTATGTGCTCAAAAATCTAATTTTACTAGACTATAAAGACTATTGGCTCCAACTTGTTCCAAAAATCAAATTTATTTACACATTTTTTTCTGATCCAAACTGATTGTGCTGCTGTTCAATTACTGTATATTAGACCTAATCAGTGTTAGGAATTTCTGCATATATTTGTATTGTATGTTCTTTATTGTTAGTAATAATGTATCCTAATATTTGTTAGGCTGAAATGTACAGAAAGGTTTGATCCTTATATGAATGTCACAAATTACATGGATCACTCTATAATTTCTTTTGGACAGTGTGTATCTTTTTTCATACTTAGACATCTCTTTCTGATTCTGTTTTTCTTTTGCAGACATTAAAAGCGTTGAACTATCTTAAAGAGAAATTGAATATTATTCATCGTGGTAAGTTAAATTTTTAACAGTGTTTAATCAACAACAACAAAAAGAAAATTCCATGTTTGATATTCCTTTTTTTTATTTGCATAAAATCTGGGTGCGTAATGTTTTAAAAAATTGTTTCATGGTGCATAATTTCGTTTTTTAAAAGTCCTTAATTTTCCCTTTCCAAAAATGAGATTTTTTTTCTTTACCACCTCGATTTTCGGCATGCAAAAAAAGCCTGGAAATGAGTGATCATCAAATATTAATCAATGTATGGGCCAAAATGTCATTTGATGCTCTAGAATTGCAGTTTCAGTTAAGGTAGCACTACTTGTTAGCAAACCATTCTGAGAACTTTTATGAGACAGCTGATTTTATAATGCCTAATTTATACTTTATTTTTAACGAATCAATCTTTTATTGAACATGAGCTGCAATTTTTTATAACTTTACTGTAGCATTTCTAAATATTTGTTGGATGTTCAAATTATAGATTTCACCATGATTCTGAAGTTTATTAAAACTTTTGTCACTCTTTCTTTTTCTTTGCAGTAAAGTTCATTTATCAAATATGAAGCGAGTTTCTGACAATAGATTTATGTTATTGAATGGGTCATTGTTATTAAATAGAAATTCCATAATTCATGAGCAGTTTTCGTATGGGATTTCTTTACTCCATATTTCATAGATTTTTTAACTGTCACTCTTAGATTTACCTAAGAAATGTAATTTACACCTTTAGGATTCTTTCCTTTTTTATTCCTTTGAGTTCGTTTATAAGCTTCCAAAATTTGTGAGAATAGAAAATTTTAATTTATTAAGTAAGAGAAAAAAGATTTTTTTTTCATTATTTAAGCCTATGCAGTTCAAAAATTTGATTTTACTAAACAGGGCTACGAATTCAAATAAGTACTTAGTAATTAATGAGTAAGTAATAAATTGAATTATTTCACAACAGTAGTTGAACAGAAATTGAAAATGTGATGGTTGAATTATCAGTAGAAACAACATACCCGTAATGATAAGGAAAAGTCAAAATTATGTGTTGCGAAATAAATTATTGCTAAATCATAATTATTTTTTAATAATAAAAATTCAATGTAAGGCTTCCTTAAAGAGTGTAAAACTTGGCTCATACCAAAAATTGCAAACTGATTATTAATGTGCAGTCTATGTTATGTAATTATATAAATAATGGTTACTCTTTTAAATTTTAATTACTTCTTCTGTCTGTGAAGTGGTGAAACATTTTTGTTTTTCAATTGTACAAAATTCTTGTCAGTCCAGTCTTGACATATGCTTCTGAAGCACGAACAATGACAAAACTAGAGAAAAATTGTCTCACAATATTTGGTAGAAAGATTTTGCGGAGTATACTTGGTGGTGTAAATGTGAAAACAATAACTGTTGAAGGAGATTTAATTTTGAACTGTACAATACAACCCGATATTATTAAACACATAAATATAAATAGAATGAATTGGATGGCCCACGTGTTACAAATGAGTGATGACAATACAATAAAAAAGATACTGCTTTTGTAGAATCACTGGAACAAGTAAGCGGGGAAGGTCGTAGTTGAGATGGGCTGACTCGGTGGAGTCTGATTTTCTTGCAATTAATGAAAAGAATTGGAGATCAAAGATAAATTGGAAGAACTCTTCAGAGGAAGGCGTTGGCCCACATTGGACTGTCTGGCCAACTATTATGATGATGATAGTAGCATCCCTATTGTTTGTCAAACGAAATCAGGATAATTTTGGGTTGATTTTTTAATTGTATGAACTTTAAATGAAGAGAGCAAGGGAAATTATTCAAAATAATGATCAATTGTTATATGGTTTTAAAAAAACTTACTTGTTTTGTATTTTTCAATTAAAATTAATGATACAATATCATACAAAAAAAATCATTGATATGTTTCTCCTTGTTTTATTGTCATTTTCTGGCAGCCTAATTTGGGATTCATAGTCATAATAGTGATCAGATTAAATTCAATACGATCCAAAAAAACAGTAACAATAACAGAGGTAGTTGGGTGATGCAGAGTGATACTGCATAAAATGAGAGACATACAGGCTGAACTTTTCATAATTTTATGACCGTCGTTTAACAGCCTAGCCAATTTTGTGGATTATGACTACTAATATTCAACTCCGTAGCCTTGTCATTTTGAACCCAATCCAGAAGACAAGGGAACTCCTCCTGGGTCAAATATTGGGGGAAATTTGCCTTCGTGGAAGACTTGTGATGGAGCTAACTCACATTTCATGGAGAGGAAAAACACGAAAACCTCCCACTGTTAGCTTGACGACAGGGGGCCTCTAACCACTGAGGATATTTCATATCAGCACTGTGCGGAATTCGTATAGACCAGCAGTCGCTGGGATTCAAATCCAGTTCTCCTCGTTGGAAGGCGAAAGCATCCCCTGAGCCATCATGACTCAGGCTGATCTCCCCAACCAAGTGTCTTAACGATTCTTCTGAAATTTTACGAGGCAGTAAGTTAAGCCCAACTTAACAGATGCCATTTAATATTTCAGTTCAATTCTTATCTAAATGGTTTCAGCCAATGTCATGCCTTATTTTGTGATAACACTGTCCACTGCAGAATCAAATCTAGTTGGAAAATCTCTCTGTGACCTTCCCAAATTAATTATCCCTATACTCACGATGCTTGAACCAATTCCTTTGCCGCTACTAATATTGCTCTTTTATGATTGCAGAAAAATTATTCTACAAAAATGATTAAACAGCTTTTGTACAGTATGAATGTTTATATATTGCATTCTGCAACCTTATGTCAATATAGTTTATCTACATTTCGGAACATCGAGTCGAAGTGACGTGACGAGGTGGAAAGAATTTTAACATTGTAGAAATGGAGTGGATGCCCAAAATTTATATCATCATCGATGACCGGCATATTTTTTGAGTTCCTTAAGTTAAATTTTTTTTTCTAAATCAAGTCTACATTTTTGAGTGCTCAATACATTTCTTTATAATCAGGGGTCTGTCCAGACATTTTGTGAAAGGTCCATTTTTTGTGAAATTGTGAAAAAATTACTCACATTCTTTCAACCAAGGTCCGCTTTTATGCATTTGTTCAAATAGGGTCCGGTCATTGCAAAAAACTTGTTGAAGGAGTTTTTAAATTGTAAATAGATACAAGATTATGCTCGGCACTGTAAAATTATAATAAAAAAATCAAATTTTCAAAAATAAACAGCAATTGCTGCTTCTGAAGCTGAGATGCAACATACAAATATTTGGTATTTAGCCTATACTGCTGAACGCAGAATATTCATTTCGGACGAATAATGGTAGAATCGTCTGCGGAACTTAATTCGTTTACATCCATCTTTCTTGTTTTCTGCCCTGGGAAGGGTTTATTTGATTAACAAAACAATAATGAATATTAATGAATTTGTGAAGGGTTCGATTAAAAGAAAAATCATTTTGTGAAGGGTCTGTTTTTAAGTGAAAATATTTTGTGAAGGGTCCGTTTTTATGAAAAGATATTTTGTGAAGGGTCCGTTAACGGACCCAAATTTCTTCTAAACAGACCCCTGATAATTATTGAAGCATTTGATGTTTTCATATTTTCAGGTATATCTTTCGGTTTTTTGGGATTATTCATATGAAAAGTATATTTTATTCCAGATGTAAAACCAAGCAATATCCTGTTAGATCGTAGAGGAAATATTAAGCTTTGTGACTTTGGAATTAGTGGCCAATTAGTGGATTCCATTGCAAAAACAAGGGATGCTGGATGTCGACCCTACATGGCGGTAATTTCTTTTGAAACTCTATTTTTAGTTTTTTTTATCATTCAATAATTATTTATCATAAAAATGCTCTTATTTAACATTTTGGAAATACGAAGGGGAAGTTTGCCTTTCTCAGGAAATCCAACAACAGTGAGAAAACAAGACAGGTATGTTTTAATCAGGATACTGCTGGTGGCTGAATGAGGCAATGTTAGACCCTGTCAAAATTATAATAGGCCATTTTGAAAAAGTGTTTTGTCACATTTGACTCCCCGTGGTAGAATCGCAGAATGTTACACAGTTCTTGCAGAAAGAATTTTCTTTCCTACAGAAATTTACACGGAATATTTGAATCCGGCATTTGGATGCTCACTTTTAGACGCTCTCAATTTACACCACACTATCGGGAGTCTAATTCGCGTGATTTCGTCATCGATCTTTTTTTGGCAATTACAACTGTGGAATTCATGATTTTTAACTTCCCCCCCCCCAAAAAAAAAATGTAAGAATATCACCCATAATATTAGAATCAGAAATTATTACATGTTGAATTAAAAAAAAATATGTGTTCAAGATTTTTTTTTTTTTTTGTAAGCACAGTGCATTGTTATTTTAAATTTGTGACATATATGTTTGTAATTATTAAAAATATCTTGTTGAAAGATATTAGCGTTAGAGAGTTTTGTCGCAGATAGCTCGAAAAAATTCTGCATTTGACGTGCTGTTGTGATGACAATGAGAAAGCACACTCAGCAGTGCAAGATTCTTGGTTGGGAGCATCAGCGTGGCCACCCTTCTGAAATTTTTTTAAAAAAAAATTGGAATTTTATTCATTGATTTTTCTTACTTTTACTGCGTTAAATTATTTACTTATTTTCTTAATTACCATCCGTTATACCTAGTTTTAGACGAAAGTTTATTGCTAAACTGTTGAAATACCATCCACAATTCTTAGCTTGCATCAAAATTCGGTCCATTATAACCCTTTTAAACTAGAATGCCGCATAAAACTCTCCCATGGTTACTAAAAATACCTTTGACGAAATGTTTTAGTGTTTTTAACTGCATCACGCATGTGATTCTTCAGCTGATTTGCGGAATTTCATGAATTTCAGGACCATCGTTCAGCGGATTTCTGCGAATCGAAATAATTTATATTCTAACAGTTCCTCTAATTTAAAATTTAATTTTCAATACTTACTCAAAATCTCGTTTAGGAGACATTTATTTCACCCTTACACGCATCTTCTTTTTTTTCTTCCTAAATGCTCATTCGTGCAGGATACCGACATTTTTTACGCAAATCTGAGAAAAATTTAACTTTGAGAACATGCGACTGAAAAAAAATTCCTGACTTTGTCTCCAATGAATGAACTACAGAGATGACAACTAAGGTAGAAAATTGATAATTTAAAAAGTAATTCCAAAATGGCAAACATTTAAAAGATTATTTGCTAGGAAAATGGCATTTTTCTAATTTTTTTAAAACCATATATTTTAATGAGTAGCGATTTCGTTTCATATTCTGCTTTATAACAGAAGAATTGTCTATTCTACGTTATATATTTGCCCCCTTTATTTGACTGTAATTAGATTTACTTTATTAACATAAGTTAAATGATATTTAGACATGGAAATTTCAAATTGCCCATTTTAATTATCTCTTTTCAAAGTGTTGAATAACATGGTAAATCCGTCTTTGGAACTTTGTTTCTCTTAATTGCAATGAAATTGACTTTTTCTTGGTTTTTAAAATTCCTAAATCATTGCAAAATCACTTTTTTATGTGCTCCATTTGTATCAATACCATCGTAAATCCATGTGTTTTGATCGTTTTATTGCCCATAATTGGTATGAATTTTTTTTTTTAAATCCCCATACTTCTTATACATTATTATTACGACATCCAAAATTCTTTGTGACGTAATGTTACCAATGTTTTTTTTTTTTTTTACTGATATTTTCATTTGATGTTATTAAAAAATGAGAAATCCGAATCACACATTTTAGCAATTGCTTTTTTGACACAATCGATTTGGGCTAAATCTATTGATTTTAAAAAAGAAATTGACAGTTATTGTTGGTGCTTTTCTCGTTATTTTTTAAAATCCTCATAATATTATAATCCTTAAAATTCAAATAGTACACCTGAGTTTTCACTATTTGAAGCGATTGGAATTCTTCGGCAGTTATCAGTTCTGATTTTTGCATATTTTTTTAATTATCGATACTTGTAATTATTCCCTTTTTGAAGCTTCCGATTCATGCTGTGTCTGTCGGAAATAAAAATTACTTCGTAAGTGACCTTTTTCCAGTTATCGCTGTGGAGATTTCACAATTTTTAAAAAGGATTCAGTTTTTTTTTTTTTTTTTTTTTTTTTTTTTTTTTTTTTTTTTTTTTTTTTTT